CAGCATCCGTCAGACATTTGCTCGCATAGTACACTAGCCATTGTACCTTTTCCTCATCCCGAACTAAGGCTGCACTGACCGCAAACTGAGAGACGGACAGATACAAGAGTAGGATCTCTTGCGGAAGAGGCTTGGACAGAAGAAGTGGTTTCCCGAGGTGTTCTTTTATACTTTGGAACGCCTGTTCACACTCGGGAGTCCACTCGAACTCCTTATTGGCCTTCAGAACATTGAAGAACCGTAAGCAGCGATCTGTTAGCCTCGATATGAAGCGACTTAGTGCCGCTATTCGCCCATTAAGACTCATGACCTGTTTTTTGCTGGTCGGGCTTTCCATATCGAGCAGAGCTTGAATTTTCTCGGGGTTGATTTCTATTCCCCGTTGGTTAATCATGTATCCTAGGAATTTACCTGATGATACTCCGAACGAACACTTGAGAGGATTCAACTTCATTCTGTACAGTCGGAGGATATCAAACATCTCAGCGAGATGCGCTATATGACCTGAAGCGACATGGGATTTGACCAGCATGTCATCTACATAGACCTCCATTGTCTTGCCGATCTGGTCGGAGAACATCCGGTTAACCAATCGTTGGTAGGTCGCGCTAGCGTTCTTAAGGCCAAAGGGCATAACTTTGTAGCAATACAGCCCCCGATATGTAATAAAAGATATATGCTTTTCGTCTGGCCCGTACATCAGAATTTGATTATATCCCGAGTATGCGTCCATAAAACTTAGCAGCTCGTGCCCTGAGGTGGCATCCACGAGCTGGTCAATTCTTGGCAGGGGGAAGCTGTCTTTAGGACAAGCCTTGTTGAGGTCACTGAAGTCGACACAGGTTCATCACTTGCCATTTGGCTTCCTTACCAGAACCGGGTTGGCAACCCAGGTCGGGTAGAATGCCTCTCGAATGGACCCGTTTCGTAGGAGGTTGTCCACCTCTAATTTTAAGGCGGCATACCGCTCCAGATCCATTGCTCTTCTTTTCTGGTGAACTGGCTTGGCTTCGCTGTCGATGTTCAACGCATGGCAAATGATGTTTGGGCTGATCCCGACCATAGCTGCATGCGACCAGGCGAACACATCGATATTTTCTTTCAGGAAGCCGATCAGCTCGAAGGCGAGCTAGGGGTTGAGACTACTCCTAATCCTTAACACTCTGCTCGGCTCCTTCAGGTCGACCGACACTTTGGACAAATCCCCAACTAGGCCGCTGGAAGGACTTTCCTGAATTCGAGGATCTATATTATCCTCTATTGGGCCAGGTTGTGGCTCGATCCGGCTAATCGCCATAGCCTGTCGGGGAATACCATGCGAGACACCCTTCCCTCTACACGTCATCTGCACCGCTTTTATGTAGCAGTCGCGAGATGCGCTCTACGATCTGCTTACTTCCCCTATCCCCGTCGAGGTGGGAAACTTCATCTTGAGATGGTATATGGAAGTGACAGCCTTGAAGCTTCTCAATAGAGGTCGCCCCAGGATTCCATTGAAGGCGGATGGGTAATCCACGACCCAGAATTCAGTACTTTAGTCACTTCGTCATAGTCACCCAGCGTGGCTGGGAGTTGAATCGTTCCTTTGGGGATCAGGTGGTCCCCTGTAAAGCCGTAAAGAGGGATCGAGGCGGGCTTCAGGTCGGCCTCGTCTAAGTTCATTCTTTCGAAAGCGGTCTGGAACAGGATATTCACAGCGATTTCGTTGTCCACTAGCATTCTGCGGACGTTATGGTGCCCTATGAGAGGCGTGATCACAAGGGCGTCGTCGTGAGGATGATGCAAATGGGCTGCCTCCTTCTTGGAGAAGGTGATCGGCTCCTCCTTGTGAACATTTTGTGGTCGTTGCGACGTGTTCATCACCTTGATCGGGTCGTGATGAGCCTCGTGAGCATATCTTTTCTGGGCACCTCGCGTGTTTCCCACGAGGTGCGGCCCTCCAAAGATTATGTTAACACTACTATACCCTTTGCGATCACGATGCTTTTTCCCTTACCCCCCTTGACTCTTCTCTTGCGCAGGAGCAGAGTCATCAATATACTCCTTGAAGTGCCCTTTCTTGATGAGCTCCTCGATTGCTTGCTTTATAACTCGGCACTCATCGGTGTGATGTCCATTGTCCCGATGGAAGCGACAGTATTTTTTATTATTTCTAGCTGTCGCGGGAGTTTTCATGGGCTCGGGCTCTCCGAGCAGGCTGGCTTCCTCGGACTTATCAAGGATGGCCGACATAGATGCATTCAGTGGTGTATATTGGTTTCTGTCGTGATCGCGACAAGGGACGGGAGCATAGGACTTTTTGGGCTCGTAGCGAGGTTTCTTTCATTTTCGCTGATCGTCAGTGTCCCCTCTACGATCAGCTCTTCTACTTTCCCCTCGACCAGACGCATTGCCTGAAGCGCCGGGGTACGATGGCGGAGTACCGCCAATGAATTTTCTATCTGGAGGTACTTCTCCGCAAGGTTATAGAATCCTGTGAGGGAAACATCGTCCTCAACCTGTAATTCTTTCCACAGGTCAGTTTGTGGACGAACTCCAACTATGATGAGAGTCCGAACAGACTTTTCGGGGGTATAAGTCACCTTGTTGAGTTCTCTGTAGAAACGGTCAATGTAGGACTTGAGGGATTCATCCCTTTCTTGCCTTATATTGCTGAGTTAGCTCAAAGGCATCGAGAACTTTCGATTTGCTTGAAAATGCCTTAGGAACGTCACGCTCATTTGAGGCCACGAACTGATTGATCCCGTTGGGAGCAACCTGAACCACCATTTGGCATGAAAGATCAAAGTCGCTACCAAACAACGGCATTTTGCTAAATCTGAGACCTGGTGAAGCTCCATCAGATCATTAAATCCATATAAATGATCCTGTGGATCAGAATTTCCATCAAACGCCCGTATGTCGGGCATTCTAAATCCTGGTGGGAGTGGAGCAGCTAACACTTTGGGAGAGAAGAGGGACGCAGATGCGACCTGCCCCTGTTCATTTTGCTGAGCTCTTAGCCTGTCTAGAGCTCGCTGCAGCTCCTCAATTTGCGGCAATGGAGCCGCTTGGGGATTGCTTTCACCCATGCGAGTTCGACCCTCGCGATTACGATTGAGGAAAGTCCAGAGGTCGGGATCCTCTTCGCCTCGGCCAACGGTTCCGGCCACTCTCGACACACGCTGGCTAGAGGCGTGAGATGGCGATGAAAGGTGCGGGGTATTTTCACGACCTTCGCGATGGTAGGAACTACCCCGCGAAGTGTGGGACCCTCTCGCACGGTGATGATCAGGATTGTTTTGCTGGCGGTGATAGGAATCGCCCCGTCCAGCACTTTTATGGGTGTGTACTTGCGATGTGGCATGGGACAGCTCGGGCTACGTCCTTTCACCGAGTCTCAATGAGACTGGTATTCTGTTTAGGACGCGGTCGGTGTTTGCTGGCCCTTTAGAGCCCGTGGACTTGTTTTTTGCCATTTGCTTACCTTTTCGTCTACGCGCTGCAGTGCTCGTGGCACGGGCTATTTCCCTTCGTCGCGCTTTCGCGTGACCTACAGGGGTTTTTGGCGGTTGCACCGCCACAACTGACTTGGATGGCACGCCTTGGTCCAAACAGTCCAACCTTCGGTTGACCGTCTGGAGAGTATTGTCAAACCTCTCCAGGTAGCTTCTAATGGCGGGGTCAAGCTGTGAACTTGACAGGATATCCCCTGCAGCATTTTGCGGGGCTGAAGGTTTTTTGGAAGAAGTGTCCCCCTGAACTTGGGGGAGCCCCTCAGCGCCCTGGTTGGTTTGCTCAGGTTCTGGTTGGCGGGCCATTTGTTGTTGTAGAACCGATAAGTTGGAGATTCTCCTTATGAAGGATAAACACTAAATCAGGCCCTCCTTCTAGCGCCAAACTATTGATGTGTGATTTTTACACCAACGAAATACACGTGTGAAATGTTGAGCTGGCCCAAAAGACACACGTGAATGTAAAGGAAAATGACAGTAAATGCAATGGGGGCAGTTTTTAAAGTGGTTCGGATGCTAAGGTAGTAAGTCCTACGTCCACTGATGCTTATATTGATGATAACGGTCAGGTCGCTTTTAGCTGACTGACTTTACAATGGTATTACAAGGTATCAAATGCTGAAAACCCTAGAGAGAGAGAGAGAGAGAGTAGCTAATCAAATGTAAAAATATGCAAATCCCCTTAATGAGAGAGGAGCTCTCAATTTATAGTGGGATGCCTTGAGGTAATGATCACTGAATCTGTAAGTTGGTGGGATTATCCGTGCAAATCCTTCTTTATGTCACATTGCCCACCTTCCAGAGTGATTTGCGCGATTTAGAGCATGGATTGAACAGTGGGATCACCACAATTCTGGCTGGCCTGACGCGCACCCACTATTTTGACGGAAGCGGGCTGTGGTTGTACCCATGATCTGACTCTTGCAGGCTGACTGGACCTTACGTCAACCCTTATGTTTCTTAGGCATAACAATTTGATTTCCACAATTCATCCAAGTATTTTTTTCTTTAAAAAAATTAGAATAATAAACCAACCAATATTTTAACCAAATTTCAATTTTCACGTTACAGGATATCAATGAAATTTATCTAAAAATAAAATGATAAATTATAACAGTCAAATATAGAGGTCTAACCACGATTGAGTAGTCTTATGGTAAAAGAGTAAAATGAGATTTCATGAATAGGGGTGGTCAATTAGGGGTTTATCTGGTCATCAACTTCAGAGCTATGAGGGATTAGTTAAGATGTGTACAAACTAACTCGGATACCTCCGATCATAAAAAAAATAAATAAATATGGACGTCAAAAGTTCCAAACAATATATGCCGTAAATTAAAATATATATATCATTTTAAAACAGATTTTCAACAATTTATTAGGGCATTATTACAACAAGATCCATTTCCTACCATGTAGGCTGGCCACAGAACAATGAAGAAGACGAGCACAAAAAAAGCACAAGAAAATTAGAGACTCGATCAAAGACCATATAGCTTCATGAATTTAAGCCTTGGGTGCAAGGCCTGCCTTAAGCTTCATGATAGTTGAAACATCAGTTTTGAAAGCCTTGGCAAGGATATTATCATCAATGCCAGAAGTAAAAACACTCGTGGGAACTGAAACTGTGCCTGCATTAGCACTGCCAAAGGCGGCGATTGCGGCGGCGGGTTGTTTTGGATCATCATTAGACTGATAGTGCACCATTCCCTTTGGGAACAAAAAGATGTCACCGAGTTTCAGGGTTTGATTGTATAGTTTGTTCGTGGTGTCAACAAAGCCAACATTGAGGGTTCCACCCACTACCAAGAGTAGCTCAGCTGAACGAGGGTGTGTGTGAGGTGGGTTAATGGATCCCGCAGGATATTCCAAAAAAGCATAAGAGACACTCTGACCATCCAAAGCTGGAAACTCTTTAACACTAGCTTTAGTCACCGTAAAGTTTGACGGATAGTCCGGGTTAATTGCGTTGCGCATTCCAGTGAAGGTGAAGAAGCACCCATCTGTGGCATTAACAGTGGAGTTTGCTGGAACTATAAAGTCTACGAGAATATCTGGATCACCTGCCATGACAACCGCAAGCAAGAGAAAGAACGGAACTGATTTGAGAAAATTCAAGGCCATAACGATGACTACAACAGAAGTGCTTTTCTTCTTGTTTTTGTGCTGTCTCTGATGGATGGTAGAACACAAATATATAGTGGTTGGTGTTGCTTTGATGGCCGGCCATGGTTGAAGATTATTACTATGTGCAAATTGTTTGCTTTAAATATTGAAATTCCCACTTGGATGGAATTAACTATAATGACAGCTATATCATATTTCCTAATTGATGTAAACTATAGTATGATTCTAAACATTAGTGGAAGTCTCTTAGTATTAACTCATAAAATGGAGAATATATTGGGATATTTAGGGATTTCATAATTAAATTAATAAATAAAATTCCAAGCTCTCTCCCGGCTGTGTGTGCTGCTTAATTGGTAAAGCCTGTACAATGAGAGCTTCATTAATTTTCTCAAAGAAAGCCTCTAGTTAATTGAATGCATCTACACATTATCTTGGACTTTTTGGCAAGTGTGCGACAAAGATTCATGAATATTTCTTCACAAGGTCTTGAAAATGAAAACAAAGTTTGAAGTAATTAATTCCCAGCTTTTGATGGACAAAGTGTTTCTCATCACTACTTCTGCAAAATACCAACTATTTCACTTCTTCAATGCCCTAGTGCCTTCATCAACTCACTCGGAGTTTGGTATATTTTTTACACGGAGTAAACGTATTTCCCACCAAGGTTTGCCTTAATAAAACTCCACCAAAAAAGTTTCAAAATACCACTTTCTCACCCAAAGTTAATATTGTGTTACTACCCAAAGTCAATTCCAGTTGATTTTGATAGTTAAAATTCTCTCCGTCACCACCATTTGAACCTCTGGTCTCCTCTCTACAAAACCACTCTTACTCCAGCACCTGTTTTCTCACCGATTGTCTGTCATCATAAAGCTAGGGTTTTCTGTTCTTAACTGATTTTTGGATGATTCCAGCCGTAAATATTCAATCGATCACCACCACACCAGTAGATCCACCGGCCTCAAGTCTACAAAACTCCTCTCACCATGATTGAGAAAGTGAAGTGTATTTTGAATATTAACGAAACAGAAACTTTGAGTAGAAAAATGGTATTTTGAAACTTTTTGAGTGGAAAATGTCATTAAGGCAAACCTTGGGTTGGAAAAAAGTTGTTTACTCTTTAAGTAATGCTATGCTTACAACTAAGTTATACAACTAGATAAAAAACAAAAGATAAAGTAATCATTTTACAAAAAATTTATATAATTTTTGTGTGATTGTATAACTCAGTTATAAATAAATCATTATTGTTACTCGTTTTATACGACTATTTCACTGCAAGCCGTTCCTAAACTTTTTATTCATATCACAAACTAATTTTTATTTTTTTTGTCATTTATGAATTTTTTTTTCTCTCCATTTATCTTGCAATTTATATGATTGATGATTATTAAAATGAAAATTTATGAATTAACTATTTATAGAGAACTATCGCTAAACTACTCTATCATGATTAAGATGGACAAAGAAAAAGAAAAACTACCGAAAAACAATTGAAGGCCAAATTATAAGTACATAATTTACCCCGCGTAGATACTACTTACCGTTACCGTATGCTTTGGGATATATCCATTTTTAATACCTTTTGTCTTAATCCTCTAATATGTCTCATCTTGTTTATAGAGAAGTTAAGCTTCCAGGAAGTTTCACTATTTGTGTTGATTTATATTTAATCCAAAAAAACAGCCAGCCTTTTTCAGGAAATATCCCAAGCATATCTTGCCAACAGACAAAGGCTTTATTTGGTTACTTTGATAGATTCAGTCGCTATGTACAAAATCCAATTCTGGTTCATATTGGAATTTTCAACCATACTCAGAAGATTTGGCTACCGGGGTTAGAGAGCCAATACTAATATTAAATCTGTTAAACGCAATTTTCCCAGTTAAATTTCTTCTTTAATTCACAGTGCAACTCTTAGACCAAAGTTCACTGACATGCAATGATTTTCAGTACATAAACATGAATGGAGTTGAAAAATGATGTAAAATATGAAATATTGCACAACACCAGTTCATTTCTTTATCTTTAACCGATAAGTGAACATGAAAATTCAAGCTACAAACTCTAATTTCGTATTTCAATTATCACTGGCGAAGAACTCAAATAAGAAACACCTCTACAATCATTCAATCAATAGGTCAATGTTTTCAACACTATTTCCGGTGTTCTGTTATGCAAGCATCTTCAATCATCTATATAGGAAGATAGTTTAACATAAAATAAATAGATAAATAATAATCTTGCAGCAAAAACCGATACTTTTTCCTGTATTCTAGATTATACCCGGGTTGATGACACAGCTTCCTGATGATCCAATGGCCGAGGTCGTTAACAAAGAAGAAACTGGAAGAATTCTAGCGGCAAGAACCAACACCATCAAACTTGCCATTGGATCTCAATTTGGCTCTGAGGCACTAAACAATTATCAGCGACAAATTTCTGTAGGACTACTAAAAATCGAGGGTCCCAGTCTTGGAGGACCCAGAAGAACAACTACTAGATGTGCCATATGAACTCCCACTTGAACCATCGACCGGGGCTTGATTTATACATTCTAAAACCAAGAATCTACGCTTATGCAACTTTATTGAGAATGTTGTCGCATCAAGAATCACAGGAACCTGATCAAAGGTTTAATTGATGAGTGAAAACTAAGCAAAGGAAAAGTATAAGAATAGAGGAATCACAGTTTTGACGATACCTGTGTATTTATGCGGGCTACTTTGTGTATATTAAGAAAGCCAACCATGTCCTGGTAACCCGCTAAGAGTTTTGCCAATTCCTTGTCCTCGTCTGAAAGAAGCATCAGCTCAGAATTTGATAAAATATTTAGGGTCATTGACACAGTAGTAAAACAGAAATATGAAAACAAACCTGGGATAGCCCCTACGGAAAGCAATGTGTCTGCCAAGTGCTGCCATCTTTTAGAGGAGGATAGTGAAAGAAGAGACGGTGGAAAGGTTATCACGGCCACTGCATTTGAAGACCGTATCATACCTTTCATAGATTTAATAAATGAAAGCATGTCCCATTCCTGCAAGAGTAAGACATTAACAGAAGTAAAATGAATTATCAATTTCAGTAGATGCTTATAAATTGATAAGATGCAAATGAGAAAATACCAATTGATGTGGCAGATCTAGGAGAATAATGAGAGAGAGAAAGTATATAGGGGAAAGAAAGAAAAAGATGGACAAAGAGGAACTTGAAAAGGGAAACATAACCATATAGATTATTGAGATAAACTCAGTTCTCATTTCATAATTACTAATTTCAAATAGACTTTTTTCAGAAAAAGAGCACAAGAAACTTATGACACTTAAAGAAAAAATAAAAGTAAATAGAACAAGAAGCTGACACCAGTGGTTTAAGGCAATTAAGACCTTCAGAGCAAAATGTAATGCCACTGACCATGTTGGAATGTTCACATTGCGGAGCACAGAATGACTGAATGGCAATTCGACCTGTGCATGAACTGTTGGCATCATTTCTGAAGATGAAAAATAAAAAAAGTTAGTAACGAGCAAAAAGATTTAAGGGCAGAACACAATAAGGAAAATGATGAGATCATAGAAAATTCATGCATCAGGTGAATCAGTTTCAAAAGTTCTGAATATAGGCTTAAATAAAACCACCAACATATTGGAAAGCTTTACATGCTAAATAAAACAATAAGAAAGATAAAATAAAATGTAATTTGGAAGCAAGCCCAAACATGTTTTGACATTCTTAGCCCCAACATGCTTTCACATTCTTAGCCCAAACATGCTTTGACATTTAGCATCATAGTTGAGATTCTTCAGTAATGATATGGAACATCAAAATCTCAGATATAATCTCAATGATGTTTTCTTCTTGCAGTACTGAAATGAGATCAGGATCAATATGCTTCAAACATATTGGTTGTAAAATCTAATGGAAAGTTATGTATATCTCCAACATGTCTTATTCAATTTTTCATTCATTAAGATGGCAAAAATTTGTCAACTGCAAATTCCATGTACTTGTAAAATCTCTTCAATAAAATTCTAATCATCAAAACTTTTGGAAAGAACTGTCTGATCCATGCTTTATAATCATCCACCCAAATCCTCCTTTCATGAAGTCAAGACAAAAAAGCAAACTTAAGGTTCTAAAATCATAGATGTGTGCATGTATCATGATTGCAGAAGAAAACCCATGATTTCTTATCAGGAAAGCTGAAAGCATATAACCATACCTTGGAAATTGGGCTAAGAATGTGGCACAACGGTCCTTAAGAGCAATAAAATTTGTAGAATCTTGGATGCTAACACAATCTACACGCTGTGCACTATGATAGTGCCTCTCTAGAGGCTTGCGCAAGTCAAAGTCATTGCAGTACACTTGCTTGTTATCTGCGCCACTAAAAAAGATGAGTTACCATCAAGGTTGTGATTTGCTAACATAAGTAAACTAAATGTAGTCTATAGCACCAAATTATATCTAGAACATTAACAGCCAGTAACAACTAAATGCAGAAATGCAGTAAGATTTTATCAAGATAATGTTTCTCAAAGATCCTGCCTGAGGGACAAGCAGTTGTAAATTCCTTTACAATGTGGTCTGTTAAGCACTATTTATTTAAAACTTAAAACTGCAGCAACTGTCTAAATAGCTAGTACACAATGCTAGGAATTTGGAAGAACAGAGGGATTAGTTTGCTGAAGAAGCAGATTTACTTTAATGTAAAATATATATGAAGGACTAAATATGAACTTATATGAAGTGAGAATAGCAATCATACAATGTCTTGGTATCTAAGTTTTGGAGTACTCAGCACCCTTTGGCTTTGGAAGTATCTTTCTAGCACTAACATGTGCATGAACAAATTAGCTCAAACTATTTAAAATCTGGTTTGCTCGCAATACATATATATGTATTTATGAAACAGATACCAGCTTGACCTTTATGATAAAAAGAAAAGAACACAGACAAGCTTACCGCTCTGACTATCAAAGTTTGGCTGATTTTCAGGCATATACTTCTTATACTGCCAAGCAATTCTCAAGCCCTTCTCCTGCAACTTGATGAAACAACATTCAAATTCTTCATGTTCCCAAAAACTAATAGACAAACAGCAAAGACAAGGGAATTGAAGAAGAGGGACACCTGTTCTGGAACACTACCACGAGGTTTTTCATCTTTGGAAGTGGATGGACTAGGCAAAGTACCCAAAAATGCTCTGGGGTCCTTTGCTGGACTGGCATAAAAAAGAGGTTGATTGTGAACAAGTCCCTGAGACATGAAATTCCTCAACAAAAGCATGTGGTGAGGTGCTTCAGCATCTTCCATCACCATCACTAAACTTCCCAGTGGGAACCCACCACCTAGTATCTCTAAACATCAGAAACAAACAAATAAAACCCATGACCCATCATTCTAGATCACATTGGAAAACCAATAGGCAAAAGTGAAGGGGAACAAATGTAGATGATTACTGTCAAGATCAAGTATTCCAGATGAGACAAACATAGTGCCATTAGGACCACACTTGACTCCTGGTGTTTGCGAAGATGGTACAGCTGATAGGTTGCGAGAGAAGCTACTTAACCGAGGCTTTGTTGCCGCCATGGCAGCACCTACAAAATGCAGCTCTGCCCCGACCAATATAATCCCGACAGCTTTGATGAACAGAAGCTAGTTAATAACACAATTAAAAGTAAAATAACATTAAATCTGTATGTACTTCACGAGATAACAACATTACTATCCAGTAATGGCAACCTTGTTTTTCGAGTTATAAGTTTCATATTCAATATGACTTAGGTTCTAAAAAAAGAAAATTATTACATTCAATATTACCAAAAAATTCCAACCCATTGAAGTTAACCCATAAGTTGATATGATAATTCAACCACTCAGGCATCAAGCAAAAGACAGTGATTTGACAAACTTATTAATATTCTCTTGAAGCCCAATTTTTGTATGCTATGTTATATTTTATTTAAAAAAAAAAAAAAAATACAAAGCAAAATTTGACCACCAATACAAGTTCTTTTGAAATATATTCAATCACTCATTTCAGCTCGACATTTCATCGAACACTTCACATGCAGTACAACCCAATGCATTAAAATCAAATTTTCATCGAGATAGTTAGCTGGGTCTACTAGCAACCAAACTGAGGGTTATATTGAACGAGGTTTAGTGGTCTCACCTTGGTTAGTGCCCTGCACAGTCTCTACGAGTGTGGCTTGCGAGCTTGGAGCTGATAATTTCTCTATTCAGAATTCTGTCAAGACTCGAGAAGGAGAACAGAAACAGCCTGTACGCACCGTTTCGTCTTTAAATGAGGAGAATTAAGAGATGATACAGCATTATAAACTCCCTCAAGATTATGTAATTCAATAATGCTACGGACACCGACGTTTTGCACTGAAATGTTAAACTGAATGACGTATCACCTAAGTCAGATGAGCCATATAGTACGTTAAGAAATATTTTTTATTGGACGGTCGTTCATTTGAAATGGACTCTCGTCTATAGTAAATCCATATTATATGGATGGAAGTTTATTTATTATGGACAGGAGTCCACCTATAAGGAAGTCCGTTTATAGTTTAAATTAAAAAAAAAAAAAAAAATCATGGACGTCCATCCATATATTATGGACGAGCGTCTCTATTAGATGAACGTTTGTCCATTATTTGAATTAAAAACAAAAAAACAAAAGTAATCTCATTCTTCTAGCCAAAGTCTGTGGAAACTTCCATGACACCTGTTTCTTTACTTTATTTTTTATTGCAGATGACGGACCCCTTGACTGCATCGATGTATGCAGTTCAAGAGAAGAACTTCCTTAAGACACTTATATTGAGAACATTGCGGGAAAGAGGAGATTATGTTGTAGAGCAAAGTCTAGTTTCACATTTGGAGACTTTTGATGAGAAGGGACACTAGAGCCCCTCAGAATCCTGTGTGCAAGTTGCTGAAAGAGATGGTGAAGAGATTGAGCAAGCCTTCATTGCTGAGGAACTTGCCATGGAAGGTTCCACAAACTTTGGCCAAAAGAATGAGATAATTGATGGAAAGATCACAGTCCTGTAACCTATGTTGAGAAATCAATTGTTGATAATGAGCAGTCTCATGAGACTCTAGCTCAAGTTGACACCTTAACTTGTGAAACAGGTGCTTGTGAATTCAATGGTCGAAAACCGGGTCTTTAGGCAAAAACTTGAAAGTCCATTATTGGCCAGTCAACGTCTCCCTATTTAATGGACTGGTGTCCATCTAAGAGGGATGTCCATCCATTACTTTTTTTTTTTTTTAATTTAAACAATGGACGGGCATCCATCTAGTAGGGACATCCAATCATCCATTAAGTAGGGACGTCCGTCCATAATATATGGACGGGCGTCCATGATTTTTGTTATCAATTTTTTTTTTATTTAAACTATGGACAGACGTTCTTATAGGTGCACTCCCGTTGATTTGCGAAATATTTCTTAACGTGCTACTTGACTCATCTGACTCAGGTGACACGTCGTTCGGTTTAACATTTCGATGCAAAACATCGATGTTCGTAGCATTATTGTATATAATTAGTGCAAACCTCTCGTCAAATATGCTTTATTATCACTAAAACTCTCTTAATGATGTAAAACCTCATAGGAAGGCACAGATTATTCTTATGTCCCCTTAAAAATTAAATAAAAACTTTGCTTAAAATTTTGAAAACATTTTTTAAAAAAAAAAAAACATATCAAAATCATGCTAAGTGAGATGCGCGGGTCTCCCCATATCCGAAGGCATGATGCTAATATCAATCAGAGCAGGTAAGTGTGCCTAACAATGCAAGTAAAATTTGCCCCACTTGGAGGCTGGAGCCTAGTTACCNAGGACATTGCTCTTATAATTAAGTTAATACCACAGTTAGTATTTGGTAGTTGGTAATTGCAAGAAAGTATATGAGAATGGCAGATGTACATGTGCTATTTCACTAAAGAAAAAATCTAGAATATAATGGGGTAGTGTAAATAGGATGAAGGATTTTTGTGTAAAAATAGGGAAAATCTGGAACATTTTGAAAGTAACAAAATTTCCAATTAATTTTATGAGACTATAATCAGAACATACTTTTCCAAGTTTTGGAGAGGAATATTAGATTTTTTTTTTTTTTTTGAAAGAAATTTAATTTAATTAATGATTATCAGACTTTTTAATATTACTAAATTAACATCATTGCTAATCCCTTTTCAACTGTAAAATCATTCCTTAACTAATTAGTATGTGTAGTGAATGAATGAAGCTTTCAAAATTCAAATTAAGTAAACCAATGCCAACTAATATAGAATTGCATAGACAAAATTGGACAAAGTTCCAATTCCAGCTCACCAATTTAATTAATCGGTCATTGATTTAGACCACCGACACACCTTCTCTCTAGCTGAGATTGAAGAACCCATCCATCCTCATAGGATGTGCCCACACTATAACACATTCATCCCATAAAATTTTATTATAAATTTATCAACTTAAATATTTTGAATCTAATTATTCTAATTCCTACAAGGGTGGAACAGAGAACCAAAACCGAAATCGAGACTTAAATAAAAATTTTAGGATAATATAAAAACTTTTCTGATATTTTACACTTCAAAAAAAATGAAGAAAAAAAATGCGATTGGGAGCAAGAGCATTCAATATCTCGATTTAGGGATTAGGGATAAAGAAGAGCAAAAAAATTATGCCTCTCAATTCTTTGGTTGAATCTGACTTTGAATCAACTGTCTCTCGATTCTCTTCCGCTCGCATAGTTTTACAATCAATTGTATCCGGTGAAGGTACTTTTTCAGAGCATCTGATATTATAGTTTCATTTAATAAATTTGAGGTTTGGGTTTTCGTTTAATAAATTTGAGGTTTGGGTTTTGCTTCTTGTTGCTCAAGAGACAAAGAAACATGAGACTTGATCTCAAAGTGAAAAACCAAAAAAAAAAAAAAAAAATTGTTTTCGTTTAATTGTATTGGATCATAGTTCTTCTGAAAATACTGGAATTGGATGGGATTGTATTGATTTGTTGTTTTTTTAATTTAAAGACAGCACTTTCGAAAGGAGATTTGCAGATATCATGAAACAATTTAGTTCTCCTTAATTAGTTTCTCTGTTATTTAAGGATAACGATTANGGTGGTACCACTGTAGGCTTTGTAATGACACTGGTTTGGTTTTGAACCCTTGTTTGAATAATAGTAATTAACATAATCTAGATGATTAAATGGCTTATACTGTAAGGGATGTTCATCATCCACTAACTTTTCAGGAATATTTATTGTCCCAACGTGGAAAGTAAACAACCCAATTGAATATATGTCTTCATTTCCACCCATGATTACCCGATAAGTACACGACCGTATTCTGTCATTGCTCCACACCTGTTTCAATAAAAAATCATCCCTTAAACATTAACTTGATAAAAAATAAATAAATAAATACAAATTTTCTCAGTTGTTATATATGAGTTTGTAAATTATATATTTTTACTTCAAATTTAAGCAGCGGATTAAGTCTCACCGTGAATGCATCGCCGGCCATCACAATAAAGGATGAAGGGTGGGGCTCACAACCGATCCACTCGCCATTTTTTGATTTTATCTCCAAACCCTTAACATGGTTTTGATGTAATATGCTGGTGAAAGTTATATCTTCGTGAGGAGGAAGAACCAGTTGACTACAATACTGTTAGAGTTGATGAACTCTATTCAACATTAGATACCCATTTTTAAAGTGAAGCAGAAAATTTTACCAAGTTAATTAATGGTTATCAAATTAAGCATGAATCAACAAACACAAGCAGTGAAGATAAAGCACACAAGCATATACATGGTTTGGCTAAAACCACTCTTAGCCTACATTCATGGGACCTCGTTCAGATCGAAGCTAATCCACTATAACAAAAAACATTATAAGATATCACTTAGAGTTAATTTTAGCTACAACAAAGAGATTCCCTGTACTACGTTACACTAAACACCACCCTCTGAATCTCAATTGCTTCATCGCTTCTAGGATCACTGCACACCAGAAACACTCCCGGACAACGCTTGAGCTCCACCCAAGCTTCACTCGCCGAAGAACACCTCCAGCTTCCACGGCTTGAATGCTTTTCAAGCTCTTAGTGTAGGAACCATGCAAGTTCCAGCAGCAATAAACAATAAACAAAGATGAACAAAATGATTTAAGCATTAAAGCATACATGAAACCTAGCAAGGAATAAACTCTCTGAAAATTTCAGAGCACAAACAAAATAATATCCAAGTTCAAAAAGAAAACAAACAAGGAAGGAGATGAATTTCCTTTTAGCTCACAATAAAGGAACTATGTTCCAAATAAATACTCCTCAACAAGCTAAGATATGATCATCAAAGAATGAACAAAGGGAACTTGATTGAAATGCTTTCTAAAATTTCAGAGAACTAAACAATGAAAAAACCAGGTTCGAAGATGCAAGGAAGAAGAAGATGGGTTTAAATAATCCTTGCTTGACCAATCTCTTTAAGACAAGTGGCAGACAATCTCTTTCATCTTTTGTTGTGACCACAAACAAAAACTCACCAACTTTTCAGGGCCATAAGAGGAGAGGCAGACAACTATAAAGAGAAAACTTACACAAAAACCATGAAAGAGATAAATCTTGATGGGCAAGATAATATAAGAAAGACATCACATGTGCAAAAAGAATTAGAGTACAAACAAATAGAATATCAAAGGTTGGCTTTACAAATGAGCAATAATGATAAAGGCCAATTTCGTGCTCCCCAATTCTTGCCAAGTCAGCAGACAAGGGCTGACATATGTTGGTCTAAAAATGGAAAAGATTCCATCTACCTTTTGGGACCACAATCAAAACGCGAAAAAGTTTGGTTTTCCCTGGACCACTAAAGGATATTGGGACACTTGTAAATGGTCCAAATGACAGCATAAAAGATGCAAAGAAAATATCTTAGCTATTAAGTAAAAAACGCAACTTGTGCAAAGTGAGTAAAACATGCGATGTTAGCACAAAACAAGAGTGTGTGCACACACGAAGTAAAATGCGAGATGAAATGCAGCATGCATATGTCCAACTTCAGTGTGCACACACACAACAGCTATGCACACAAACAACATAAGTTTGACAAAAATATTCAACAAGTACACCTAGGCTCTTCATATTTCAATAATCTAAGATGGTAACTTGTTGATTTAATATGGGAATTGCAGTACTCCTCAACACCATAGCATTCAAAAACCATTCGTATTACCAGCTCATTCAACTCTTCCACTAACTTTGAGTATGAGTGGACAATTTCGCTGATCAAAGAAGACAAAAAAATGTTAGACAAACAAGTGGAAAGAATTATGAAATTAGGATCGTTTCCTGGTGATCTAAGCTTTCTTGAGTTTTTTAAAGATCTTTTGCAATTTGTGCAATGTCATTTATTAATTTATGGTATTAGAATCCATTTGTCTATTTTATTCCTATTTGTGATTAATAATCACAAACTTTTATTTTTTTGGGTAATTAAGCTTTAAATAGAATAAGAAAGAGAATATACAAAGAGGTCTCGAAAGGCGACCAACCTACCATAGGACAAGCCCCTGGGAGGTTCAAAAACAAGACAAAAGAGTTATACATGACACTATCTCCCAATGCACATCTTACCACAAGACAAACCCTGAGTTAGGACAAAAACAAAAGTCTACACAAGACCATCTCCAAACCATATACAAGACAACCGTCACCAAAAAAAAGCCAACAAACAAAAATTCACCCTTTAAAAATGCACATTGGTAACCCTAATCTTGAGCAAGACTCCTATTACTAATGGTTCACTAATCACAAACCTTTATTTGTTGGATCAGGTTAAGAGGGTCCATTAAAAATTTATATATTCAAATTTAGATATATGAACTTACGGTACAAATTAATCTAATGAAGTGTATATTAAAAGCTTACCTGAAAGGATCGTTTTCGTTGGGCCACATGAGTTTTGTAAGCTTTTGGGTTTCTTCAAAAGTGGTTACATTATCTATTCGCATAGCTTCATGAAGAGGAAAATGAGGGCTTTTCCCGATATAGCCTCGATAAGGCTTCTTGTTATCGTTTAGTATTTTGATTTCTAAAGGAAGATCAAACAACTCTTTGGTTGATTCAAAGACTCTGTTGCAAGATCCTAAAGAAAATGTTAAATGAAGCTCAAAACAATTGCGTTTGAGGAATTAAATTTGAATCTTGGCCTTTGCTTGTTAAAGAAATCTAACAGCTTCCATTTGTCCGAGAAAGTCAAAGCTATAAAAGATGTCAAAAATTCTAGATTTGCATCTTTTCTCCAGCTTTCTCTTTATTATAAAAATAATACTCTACAAGGGTTTCTGATTGAGTCTAATTTTCTTGTAATTAGTTTTAGATTTCTATAATCTTTAGTTGAAGGTCGAGCTTCCTTCAAGGGTAGAGAATCTAGGTTGTGATTTCTCTTGTGATTAAAGGTTATAGTTAGAATTTGGGGATTGATTGAGTGTGTTAAGATTTGGAGTTGATTTGTTCTTGTAATCTGTAAACTTCTAATCTCTTAGTGCTATGAGCCCTAAAAGTTCTTGGAGCTCAACGTGGATGTAGCTTATTCCCAATTTTGGAATAAGTGAACCATGGTAAAATCCTTGATGTTCTTGATTGTGTCTCAATTGCAACCTAGGGTTAGAAATTCCTAAAATCAACGTCTCAATCTCTTGAAAGGGGTTAGAAATTGTTTTCAATTTCTAGGGTTTCTCTCAGTAAAATCCTAAATCAAATACTGAGTCTTTAGAATGACTAACATACGTGTTGAGATCACCCAATATGATGGAAAGATCGATTTTAATAGCTGGAAGAAGAAAATGAAGGCATTGCTATCTCACAATAAGGTAGTAATTGCACTGGAGAAGGACACAACAAAGTGGACAGAGGAAAAATTAAAGAAGAAAGCTGAGGTGGATGAGGAAGCTTATAACCTCATCATCATGAATCTCTTCGATAGCGTCTTTAGGAAGGTAGATGGCTTTGAAACACCTATCACACTCTAGGGTAAGCTTGAATCTCTTTATGCTTTGCAATCAGCACCTAATCTTGAATATCTTAAAGGTGTTTTATTTGTTTACAAGATGGATAGTTCTAGGACAATTGATGAGAATCTTGATGAGTTCTTGGAAATGACCCTAGTGTTTAAGGGTATAGATCAAGAACTTGGAGATTCCAGTTTAGCCATGATACTGTTAAATTCGCTAACTGAGGAATATTAGGTTGTAAAAAATGCATTTCAATACACTGGAACTGTCCCTATTGTAGATTTAATAATCTCAGGATTAAATGCTAGGGAACTAGAACTTAGAGTGCAAAAAAGGAGTGGTAACAATCTATTTGTGAGGGAAAAAGGGAGTCAAGCATGTTGGGTAGTAACACACAGTTTGAAAATGGTCATAGGAATAAAAAGAAGGGTAAAAAAAATCATAAAGCAAAAGTGGAGACTAGAAAGTGTTTCTTTTGTAATAAAACAAGACACTTAAAGAAAATTTGTTTTGCCTGGATTAAGAAACAGAAGCAAGGAAATACAGAGAGCAACTAAAACCAATATCGAAGAGTTAGAGGCCCTTACTGTCTCTAAATCAGATAATGTAAATGAATGGGTACTAGGTTCAGGATGCTCATTCCACATGAGTCCTAATAAAAACTGGTTCCAAGACTTTGAGGCTAATGAACTAGAAACTGTGTTTATGGGAAACAATAATTCCTACAAAGTCCAGGGAATTGGTAGTATAACCTTAAGGCTTGAAAATGGAAAAAAACATTAAATTGACTAAGGTTAGATACATTCTAGACTTAAAGAGGAATTTGATCTCTCTAAGAACACTAGATGAGTATGGGTGTTGTTTTAAAGCTGAGAATGGGTGCCTAAATGTCTATAGGAATAACAACATAGTCCTCAGTGGAGTGAAAAGAAATGGACTATATATTTTATGTGGGAACCATGATTCTAAATGTTATAATACTGCTTTGTTTTCTATTAACCTGACTGTTACAGAGAAGTGGCACCCTAGGATGGGCCACATGAGTTAGATGGGCATAGACATCCTAAACAAATAGGGGTTGTTTGGTAAGGACTCCATTGAAACTCTTAACTTCTATTAAACATGTGTAGTGGGTAAGCAACATAAATTGAGTTTCCAAAAGGGATCTCACCTTGCTAAAAATTGTGTAGATTACTTGCATGTTGATTTGTGGGGGCTTGAAAGGATAACATCACATGGGGGCAGTAGTTATTTCCTTTCTATAGTTGATGACTACAGTAGGAAATTGTGGGTTTACTTGCTTAGGACTAAGGATGAGGCTTTAGGCAGGTTTTAGAGTTGGAAACTATTGTTAGAGAACCAAATTGACTAAAAGGTCAAAGCCTTTAGGACTGATAATGGGTTAGAATTCTACAATTTAGAGTTTGATAACTACTATAGTGACCAGGGTATTCTGAGACACAGAACAGTTAGGAAAACTCCTCAGCAAAATGGAGTTACTGAGAGGATGAATAGAACCTTATTAGAAAAGGTTAGATGTTTGTTGTTTACATCTGGCGTACCTAAAATCTTTTGGGGGGAAGCCTTAAACACTGTTGCATACTTAGTCAATAGGAGTCCCTCAAGTGCCATAGAATTTATGTGCCCTAAAGAAAAGTGATTAAATAGAAAACCCAACTTGGGTCACTTAAGGGCTTTTGGATGTGCAATATATGCTCACACCACTAATGGAAAATTAGACTCAAGATCATTGAGGTGTGTGTTTCTAGGTTATCAATAGGAAACCAAGGGGTATAGGTTATGGGAGAGGAGTGCACCTGAAGTGAGGATTATAATTAGTAGGGATGTAATATTCAATGAGAATCTTTTTCCTTGCAAATCTGTTGATAATGGCGCAGGTACCTCAAGCAGTAACCGTATAAGTCAAGAACCACCCGAGAATATTCAAATTGAGTGGAGCCTCTAATAACCCAACCTGAACAGGAAGATCCAGGAACTGAAATCGTCGCACTAGATCTGAATCATGACAACATGTTGAAAATCCTGAGGTTTCTCAACATGATTCACTAGCCCAATACCAATTGGCCCGAGACAGAACTAGAAGAGAGATCAAGCCACCAGCGAAGTTCTCTTATGTTGAGCTTATATATACAGCCTTGGTGGCTGGGGCTGAATTGCAAAGGGAAGAACCTGTCACCTATGAAGAGGCAATCAAATCCAAGGACAGAAGCAAATGGCAGACTACAATGGAGGAGGAAATGCACTCCCTAAAGATAAATGGAACCCAATCATTGGTTCCAAATCCCAAAGACCAAAAACTAATGGTTATTCAAGGTAAAAGAAGGCATATCTCTCTCTGATCCTCCTAGATATAAGGCAAGATTGGTAGCCAAAGGCTACACACAAAGGGAAGGAATAGATTTTAATGATATCTTTTCTCTCGTTGTGAAATATCAGACCATAAGACTTATGTGTTTGTTTTTGCATGCCATGATTTAGAACTAGAATAACTTGATGTTAAAACTGCGTTTTTACATGGAAATTTAGAAGAAAAATTCTACATGAGGCAGCCTGTTGGTTTTGTAGATAAAAGACTTCCAAATCATGTATGTTTGCTACACAAGTCCTTATATATGGTTTAAAACAGTCCCCTAGGCAATAGTACAAAAGATTTGATGCTTTTATCATGAGTATTGGTTTTAATAGGAGTTAATATGATAATTGTTTCTATTATGCCTTGAATGATAACATGCCTTTGTATCTTCTTTTTTATGTGGATGATATGCTTCTAATTAGCAAGTCTAAGTCTAAAACAGATGAATTAGAGAAAAAACTCAATTCTGCGTTTGATATGAAGGACTTAGGGTGTGCTAAAAGGATTTTAGGGATAGTTATAACCAGAAATAGAAAGTGTAATGAGCTAAAAATACATTAAAGTGCTTGTTTGCAAAAACTAGTTTCTAAATTTGGTATGGCTCAGTCTCAGAGTGCAAATCTGCCTTTAGCCAGTCATTTTATCCTAAGTAAGTCTCAATATCCTAAATCTGATTCTGATTTGTTAAAAATGGAAAATGTTCCCTATGCTAATGTAAGAGGATCAGTCATGTATGCTATGATAAGTACAAGATCTGACCTTACTTNTTTTTGTGTGGATGATATGCTTCTAATTAGCAAGTCTAAGTCTAAAATAGATGAATTACAGAAAAAACTCAATTCTGCATTTGATATGAAGGACTTAGGGTGTGCTAAAAGGATTTTAGGGATAGTTATAACCAGAAACAGAAAGTGTAATGAGCTAAAAATACATTAAAGTGCTTATTTGCAAAAACTGGTTTCTAAATTTGGTATGGCTCAGTCTAAGAGTGCAAATCTGCCTTTAGCTAGTCATTTTATCCTAAGTAAGTCTCAATATCCTAGATCTGATTCTGATTTGTTAAAAATGGAAAATGTTCCCTATGCTAATGTAAGAGGATCAGTCATGTATGCTATGATAAGTACAAGATCTGACCTTACTTTTTCCATCTCATTACTCTGTAGGTTCATGTCTAACCCAGGGTTAGGACATTGGTCTGCCCTAAAATGGTTGCTAAAATATATAAATTGCACAACTCATGTTGGTTTAGAATATTCCAAAAGATGTGAGTCACTTGATCTTGTGGGTTTTGTAGACTCTGATTTTGTAGGTGACTAGGATTCAAGGAAGTCAACTACTTCCTATTTCGACAGAAGCTGAATATGTGGCAGTGGCAGAAGTATTCAAGGAAGAATTGTGGCTACAAGGACTTCTAACGGAGGTGAAATTGATAGATGGGGCAGTGATGGTATTTTATGACAGTTAGAGTGCAATATATCTAAGTAAAAATTCAGTCTACCATGAGAGGACCAAGCACATGGACGTGAGGTTTCATTTTGTCAAGGATTTAGTGGCGCGGGGAATGATAAATCTGAAGAAGATAGCAACAGAGGATAATCTAGCAGATATGGGACAAAGGTGGTGACAACTGCCAAGTTCAAGCATTGCTTGAATATGGTATTTGTAAATTAGAGCAGCAATTGAGCTATGAAGAGAACTTGGATGGGTTAGCTGCACTAATAAGGTTTTGAAGTTGGTGAGTTTTGAGTTTCAAGGTGGAGATTGTTAAAGAAAGCTTAAAACAGTGACGTTTGAGGAAGTAGAAGTTTTAATCTTGGCATTTGCTCGTTAAAGAAATCTAATGGCTGCCATTTGTCCAAGAAAGTCAAAGCTATAAAAGACATCAAAAATTCCAGATTTATATCTTTTCTCCAGCTCTCTCTTTACGATAAAAAATAATACTCTACAAGGGTTTCTAATTGAGTCTAATTTTCTTGTAATTAGTTTTAGATTTCTGTAATCTTGAGTTGAAGGTGAAGCTTCCTTCAAGGGTAGAGAATCTAGGTTGTATTTCTCTTGTGATTAAAGGTTACAGTTAGAATTTAGGGATTGATTGAGTGTGTAAAGGGTTGGAGTTGATTTGTTCTTGTAATTTGTAAACTTCTAATCTCTTAGTGCAGTGAGCCCCAAAAGTTCTTGGAGCTCAACGTGGATGTGGCTTATTCTCAATTTTGAAATAAGTGAACCATGGTAAAATCCTTGGTGTTCTTGATTGTGTGTTCTTGCTCCTTTGGTGTGTGATTTAGATTCTTTGGAATGTGTTTGATGTTTCTTTTGGTAGATTGAGTTCTAATTTTTAGCATAACAGAAAATTTATTGTACACTGCCACAAAGCAGCCATACTCTTCAAGTGCATGACAAACTTGATTGCATGCTAAAAGCCAAGAACCACTTCCAGGCTTCAAGTCTTCCTTTGATAAATCTACAACAGGAATTTTGGGAAGCATTTTGAAACTGGTAACTTTTTTCTTTTCTGTAAGTTCTAACATTTTTTCTCCAGTACTAATCTTAATGCTTTGCAAGTGGGATTGGAAATGCGGAGAAAAGCCAAATTTGTTGTCAATTTCACTCTACAACTAAAACAAGGTTGCTATGGAAAGAGTCGTGTGGCCGGCCAATGTACATATATTCCAAGAAAAAAGTATACATTCATATTGTCAACTCCGTCCGTAACACTTTAATCTTCAAAACTTAACTACTTTGTTAACTGTTAACCAAATGGAGGGGAATAAGATCTAGAAAAGGGTTATAATTATAAAATTGCCTCAAATTTATGTTATATATTATCTCTGGCCCTCTTTTAATTAGAATCACCACTTCATTTACATCTAAACAATATATAAGATTATACATTACTTGGTATAGGAATTTCGGGATAACTTCCGGATTGTTTAGCATTATTGAAAGGGCTATATTATGTCCTCTGCTACTTTGCTTTGGCTAACAGTATGGAGAAACAAAGTGAAACTTGAGAGGCTTATTGNAATAAAAACTTTTGTAGAAAAAGTAATGTGAATACATTTTTATTTATATTTCATAACATTTAAAGTAAGTTGGTTTGATTTTTAAGAATCTACCTTTACAAAGTAATGGAGTTTGTCATTTTGAATTTATAATTTGTAATTTTATTTTTGTTAACGAGTGCCAGGTGGGGGGGTATGTGTAAGTTTTTAAGGGTTTTTTTATCATTTTAAAAACTTTTGGGGGGTCCTTGTAATTTTATAGGGTACCCAGAACCGGAACCGGAACCGTTGTTACAGGTTCTGGTTCTGGTTCCAAATTTCAAGGAACCGTCGGTTCCGGTTCCTTCAAAAAGTGTAGGGTACCCGAAACCGAACACCCCTAGGTCTAACCACGGTTGAATAGTCTTATGGTAAAAAGGTAAAATGAGATTTCATGAATAGGGATGACCACTAAGAGGTTTACCCAGTCATCAACCTCAGAGCTTTGGGGGATTAGTTGAGGTGTGCACAAGCTAACTCGAACACCTCCGATCATCAAAAAAATAAATAAATATTGACGTCTAAAGTTCCAAACATTGCCGTAAATTAAAATATATATATATATAATTTTGAAACAGATTTTCAACAATTTATTAGTGCAATATTACAACAAGATCCATTTCCTACCATGTAGGCTGGCCACAGAACAATGAAGAAGAGAAGCACATAAAAAGCACAAGAAAATTAGGGACTCAAGACCATATAGCTTCATGAATTCACGCCTTGGGTGCAAGGCCTGCCTTGAGCTTCATGATAGTTGAAACATCAGTTTTGAAAGCCTTGGCAAGGATATTATCATCAATGCCAGAAGTAAAAACACTCATGGGAACTGAAATTGTGCCTGGATTAGCACTGCCAAAGGCGGCGATTGCGGCGGCGGGTTGTTTTGGGTCATCATTAGACTGATAGTGCACCATTCCCTTTGGGAACAAAAAGATGTCACCGAGGTTCAGGGTTTGTGTGTATAGTTTGTTCGTGGTGTCAACAAAGCCAACATTGAGGGTTCCACCCACTACCAAGAGTAGCTCAGCTGAACGAGGGTGTGTGTGAGGTGGGTTAATGGATCCCGCAGGATATTCCAAAAAAGCAAAAGAGACACTCTGACCATCCAAAGCTGGAAACTCTTTAACACTAGCTTTAGTCGCCGTAAAGTTTGACGGATAGTCTGGGTTAATTGCGTTGCGCATTCCAGTGAAGGTGAAGAAGCACCCATCTATGGCCTTACCAGTGGAGTTTACTGGAACTATAAAGTCTACGAGAATATCTGGATCACCTGCCATGACAACCGCAAGCAAGAGAAAGAAAGGAACTGATTTGAGAAAATTCAAGGCCATAACGATGACTACAACAGAGGTGCTTTTCTTTTTTTTTTTGTGCTGTCTCTGATGGATGGTAGAACACAAATATATAGTGGTTGGTGTTGCTTTGATGGCCGGCCATGGTTGAAGATTATTACTATGTGCAAATTGTTTGCTTTAAATATTGAAATTTCGACCTGAGGAAATCAGGTATAGATAAACTTGGATGGAATTAACCATAATGACAACTGTATCATATTTCCTAATTGATGTAAACTATAGTATGATTCTAAACATTAGTGGAAGTCTCTTAGTATTAACTCATAAAATGGAGAATATATTGGGATATTTAGGGATTTCATAATTAAATTAATAAATAAAATTCCAGGCTCTCTCCCAGCTGTGTGTGCTGCTTGGTAAAGCCTGTACAATGAGAGCTTCATTAATTTTCTCAAAGAAAGCCTCTAGTTAATTGAATGCATCTACACATTATCTTGACTTTCAACAAAGCTACGGACACTGAAAAACTTGCACTGAGATTATGTACCGGCCTATGTGTACCAGCCGCGTGAATTTTTTTTCAATTTTTTTCTAGTGATTGGCCGTCCAAAAAATTTGGACGGCCATTCACTCACATGGACCCCATCCATATTATATGGACGGGGGTCCATATACCAAGGACGGGCGTCCCCTTTTAAAGGACGCTCGTCCTGAATAAAATACAATAAAAAAATTTTATAAACAGTAAGGACGGTCGTTCATCCGTTATGGACGGCCGTCCCTTCATTTTGGACGGGCGCCCGCAAATAAGGGACGCTCGTCCTTAACCAAATTATGAAAATAAAATAAAATAAAAACCTTTGGGGACGGCCGTCCATAAATTTTGGACCGTCGTCCCTTACCTTTGGACGGGCGTCCATTCCGTCCATACTTTTTAAAAAAAAAAAAAAAAAAAAAATTCTAAAAAAAACTCTTCTTCTTCGTCTTCATTCCCCATCTCCTCTCTTCTTCTTCGTCTTTATTTTATGAGATAGACGTGCCAAATCCAAAGGTTCCAAAGCCCAGAAAACTACAGAAGCAAAGCTCGTAGGTTGCCTTCCTTTCCGCTTGACCACCTCTTGACATCAGCATCTAGTGTTTCAGCTAGTCTCTGCAAACGGAAATAAATTGAAGACAACTTCTTACAAACTTCTTGCTTCTGGTGTTTTTGTAGGCAAAAGCTCTTGCAGAGAAGAATATGCGTGATCTCCTTGCTCAAAGAGAGCAAGCTGAAAGAAATGTAAAACCTTCACTCCACTAAAAAATATTTCTCAAGCTCTGAACTAGTGCCATATTTTGCTTATTGTCTTCAATTTATTTCCGTTTGCAGAGACTAGCTGAAACACTGGATGCTGATGTCAAGAGGTGGTCAAGCGGAAAGGAAGGCAACCTACCAGCTTTGCTTCTGTAGTTTTCTGGGCTTTGGAACCTTTGGATTTGACACACCTATCTCATAAAACAAAGACGAAGAAGAAGAGAGGAGATGGGGAATGAAGACAAAGAAGAAGAGTTTTTTTTTAGATTTTTTTTTTTTTTAAAAGTATGGACGACGTCAATTCCTAATGGACGCCCGTCCAAAGGTAAGGGACGGCCATCCAAAATTTATGGACGGCCATCCCCAAAGCTTTTTTTTTTTTTTTTTTTTTCACATTTTGGTTAAGGACGGACGTCCCTTATTTGCGGGCGCCCATCAAAATGAAGGCCAGCAGTCCATAACGGATGAACGACGTCCCCTAATGTTTATAAAATTTTTTTATTGTATTTTATTCGGGACTGGCCCATCCCTGGTATATGGACCCCCGTCTATATAATATGGACGGGGGTCCATGTGAGTGAACGGTCGTCCAAATTTTTTGAACGGCCGTTCACTAGAAAAAAATTGAAAAAAAAAATTCACGCAGCTGGTACACGTAGGCCGGTACACAATTTCGTACAAGTTTTTCGGTGTCCATAGCTTTGTTGCTTGGACCTTTTGGCAAGTGTGCGACAAAGATTGATGAATTTCTTCACATTCTCCGGTATAAGAGCTCTTTTGGAGAAGATTAATTAACCTTCAAGGTCTTGAAAATGAAAACAAAGTTTGAAGTAATTAATTCCCAGCTTTTGATGGACAAAGTGTTCTTATCACTACTAATGCAAAATCCCAACTATTTCACTTCTTCAATGCCCTAGTGGCTTCATCAACTCACTCGAAGTTTGGTATTTTTTACATGAGTAAACAACTATTTCCTACCCAAGGTTTGCCTTAATAACATTTCCCACCCAAAGTTAACATTCTGTTACTAGCCAAAGCCAATTTCGATTGATTTTGGCAGCTAAAATTCTCTCTATCACTATCTATTGAACCTCTAGTCTCCTCTCTACAAAATCTCTCTCACTCCGACACCTGTTTTCTCACTGATTGTCCATCATCGCAAAGCTAGAGTTTCCTGTTCTTAGCTGATTTTCGTGATACCACACAACCACTAGATCCATCGGCCTCAATCTACAAAACGCCTCTCACCCTGACTGAGAAAGAAAAGTGTATTTTGAATATTACGAAACATAACTTTGGGTAGAAAAGTGGTATTAGAACTTTTTGAGTGAAAAAGGTCATTAAGGCAAACCTTGGGTGGAAAAAAATCGTTTACTCTTTAAGCATGCTATGCTTACAATTAGTCATAGAACTGAGTTATACAACTAGACAAAAAACAAAAGATAAGTAGTCATTTTACATAAATTTTATATATTTTTGTGTGATTGTATGACTCAGTTATAAACAAATCATTATGTTACTTGTTATACACGACTATTTCACTGCAAGCCATTCCTAAACATTTTTTATTCATATCACAAACTATTTTTTTTTTTTTTTTTGTCATTTATGAATTTTTTTTCTCTCCATTTATCTTGCAATTTATATGATTGATGATTATTAAAATGAAAATTTATGTATTAACTATTTATAGAGAACTATCGCTAAACTACTCTATCATGATTAAGATGAACAAAGAAAGAAAAACCACAGAAAAACTAGAGATGGGCGTTTGCCCCGGTCATGCAGGGATCCGCACTGACCCGGCCCGAATGGGGCGAGAATCCCCGAAAAATTCGGGATAGGGCCAGGGATGGTCCTCAGAAAAATCCCTACACCCGGGACAGGCCGAGGGAGGGGATAGTGCAATCCCTGCCTCGTGAAGCCCCGCCCCGCTTTTTTGAGAATTTTATGTTTTTTTTTTTTTTTTTTTTTGTTCATTTTGCGAGATTGTATATAAAATTAGAGTTTAAATCATGGTTTTAAGTAATGTATCTAAATTTATGATATTTACTTTTATAATACTTTTAATGTTTGTATTAAATTTATAGAAAATAAATTTATGAGGTTTATGTTGTAGCTTAAGATGTTTATATTTTTTGCTTTAAAATTCATGAGCATGTTTCAATTTTTCCAAGAAATTATTGTTATTCACCGTTTCATATCAATTCTCAGAGAAATTTTCTTCCAGATATTTATTTATGAATTTTAGTAGATGAAACTATTTCAGTGGATATTACAATGCCTCGCAACATAAAGCATCAAAATGTGGATTCTAAATTCCTCTATTTAATACTATATAGAAAAGGTGTCACACTATAGTAACATTAAATTAGTTTATGGTGGTAGTTATGTACTACTTTTTAAATTTTAATTTAAATTTACAAGAAATTATTGATTTTATATTTTCTTATCTTAAATTTAGCATTTTTAACGAATTAACTACTAAAATTAAGCAGTCAAATATAGTACCTACTAACGTGCTAGTTTCTCACAATTAAAAATAATTATAATAATTTAATATCATTGTCGTGAGAATGTAGAAGTTTTTATCTACACAGGGCAAAAATCCCCGCACAAAAAATCCCCGTTCGAGGGATAAATCCCAACGAAGCGCCGTTCATCAGGTCGGGCCGGGACGGAGATGGGAGTGATTCCATCCCCACGGGCCAGGCCGGGACGGTCATGAGAAAAATCTCCGCCCTAGGGATGGTGTGGGGACAGGGAATGGGGTCCCTGGCCCGTGCCCATCCCTACGAAAAACAACTAAAGCCAAATTATAATTACATAATTTACCTGGCGTAGATACTACTTACCCTCCCTACGAAAACAACTAAAGGCCAAATTATAATTCATAATTTACCTGGCGTAGATACTTATTATTACTTAAACATGCGTGTTCTTTGGGATATATCCATTTTTAATACCTTTTGTCTTAATCCTCTAATATGTCTCATCTTGTTTATAGAGAAGTTAAGCTTCCGGGAAGTTTCACTATTTGTGTTGATTTATATTTAATCCAAAAAAACAGCCAGCCTTTTTCAGGAAATATCCCAAGCATATCTTGCCAACAGACAAAGGCTTTATTTGGTTACTTTGATAGATTCAGTCGCTATGTACAAAATCCAATTCTGGTTCATATTGGAATTTTCAACCATACTCAGAAGATTTGGCTACCGGGGTTAGAGAGCCAATACTAATATTAAATCTGTTAAACGCAATTTTCCCAGTTAAATTTCTTCTTTAATTCACAGTGCAACTCTTAGACCAAAGTTCACTGACATGCAATGATTTTCAGTACATAAACATGAATGGAGTTGAAAAATGATGTAAAATATGAAATATTGCACAACACCAGTTCATTTCTTTATCTTTAACCGATAAGTGAACATGAAAATTCAAGCTACAAACTCTAATTTCGTATTTCAATTATCACTGGCGAAGAACTCAAATAAGAAACACCTCTACAATCATTCAATCAATAGGTCAATGTTTTCAACACTATTTCCGGTGTTCTGTTATGCAAGCATCTTCAATCATCTATATAGGAAGATAGTTTAACATAAAATAAATAGATAAATAATAATCTTGCAGCAAAAACCGATACTTTTTCCTGTATTCTAGATTATACCCGGGTTGATGACACAGCTTCCTGATGATCCAATGGCCGAGGTCGTTAACAAAGAAGAAACTGGAAGAATTCTAGCGGCAAGAACCAACACCATCAAACTTGCCATTGGATCTCAATTTGGCTCTGAGGCACTAAACAATTATCAGCGACAAATTTCTGTAGGACTACTAAAAATCGAGGGTCCCAGTCTTGGAGGACCCAGAAGAACAACTACTAGATGTGCCATATGAACTCCCACTTGAACCATCGACCGGGGCTTGATTTATACATTCTAAAACCAAGAATCTACGCTTATGCAACTTTATTGAGAATGTTGTCGCATCAAGAATCACAGGAACCTGATCAAAGGTTTAATTGATGAGTGAAAACTAAGCAAATGAAAAGTATAAGAATAGAGGAATCACAGTTTTGACGATACCTGTGTATTTATGCGGGCTACTTTGTGTATATTAAGAAAGCCAACCATGTCCTGGTAACCCGCTAAGAGTTTTGCCAATTCCTTGTCCTCATCTGAAAGACGCATCAGCTCAGAATTTGATAAAATATTTAGGGTCATTGACACAGTAGTAAAACAAAAATATGAAAACAAACCTGGGATAGCCCCTACGGAAAGCAATGTGTCTGCCAGGTGCTGCCATCTTTTTGAGGAGGATAGTGAAAGAAGAGACGGTGGAAAGGTTATCACGGCCACTGCATTTGAAGACCGTATCATACCTTTCATAGATTTAATAAATGAAAGCATGTCCCATTCCTGCAAGAGTAAGACATTAACAGAAGTAAAATGAATTATCAATTTCAGTAGATGCTTATAAATTGATAAGATGCAAATGAGAAAATACCAATTGATGTGGCAGATCTAGGAGAATAATGAGAGAGAGAAAGTATATAGGGGAAAGAAAGAAAAAGATGGACAAAGAGGAACTTGAAAGGGGAAACATAACCATATAGATTATTGAGATAAACTCAGTTCTCATTTCATAATTACTAATTTCAAATAGACTTTTTTCAGAAAAAGAGCACAAGAAACTTATGACACTTAAAGAAAAAATAAAAGTAAATAGAACAAGAAGCTGACACCAGTGGTTTAAGGCAATTAAGACCTTCAGAGCAAAATGTAATGCCACTGACCATGTTGGAATGTTCACATTGCGGAGCACAGAATGACTGAATGGCAATTCGACCTGTGCATGAACTGTTGGCATCATTTCTGAAGATGAAAAATAAAAAAAGTTAGTAACGAGCAAAAAGATTTAAGGGCAGAACACAATAAGGAAAATGATGAGATCATAGAAAATTCATGCATCAGGTGAATCAGTTTCAAAAGTTCTGAATATAGGCTTAAATAAAACCACCAACATATTGGAAAGCTTTACATGCTAAATAAAACAATAAGAAAGATAAAATAAAATGTAATTTGGAAGCAAGCCCAAACATGTTTTGACATTCTTAGCCCCAACATGCTTTCACATTCTTAGCCCAAACATGCTTTGACATTTAGCATCATAGTTGAGATTCTTCAGTAATGATATGGAACATCAAAATCTCAGATATAATCTCAATGATGTTTTCTTCTTGCAGTACTGAAATGAGATCAGGATCAATATGCTACAAACATATTGGTTGTAAAATCTAATGGAAAGTTATGTATATCTCCAACATGTCTTATTCAATTTTTCATTCATTAAGATGGCAAGAATTTGTCAACTGCAAATTCCATGTGCTTCTAAAATCTCTTCAATAAAATTCTAATAATCAAAATTTTTGGAAAGAACTGTCTGATCCATGCTTTATAATCATCCACCCAAATCCTCCTCTCATGAAGTCAAGACAAAGAAGCAAACTTAAGGTTCTAAAATCATAGATGTGTGCATGTATCATGAGTGCAGAAGAAAACCCATGATATCTTATCAGGAAATCTGAAAGCATATAACCATACCTTGGAAATTGAGCTAAGAATGTGGCACAACGGTCCTTAAGGGCAATAAAATTTGTAGAATCTTGGATGCTAACACAATCTACATGCTGTGCACTATGATAGTGCCTCTCTAGAGGCTTTCGCAAGTCAAAGTCATTGCAGTACACTTGCTTGTTATCTGCGCCACTAAAAAAGATGAGTTACCATCAAGGTTGTGATTTGCTAACATAAGTAAACTAAATGTAGTCTATAGCACCAAATTATATCTAGAACATTAACAGCCAGTAACAACTAAATGCAGAAATGCAGTAAGATTTTATCAAGATAATGTTTCTCAAAGATCCTGCCTGAGGGACAAGCAGTTGTAAATTCCTTTACAATGTGGTCTGTTAAGCACTATTTATTTAAAACTTAAAACTGCAGCAACTGTCTAAATAGCTAGTACACAATGCTAGGAATTTGGAAGAACAGAGGGATTAGTTTGCTGAAGAAGCAGATTTACTTTAATGTAAAATATATATGAAGGACTAAATATGAACTTATATGAAGTGAGAATAGCAATCATACAATGTCTTGGTATCTAAGTTTTGGAGTACTCAGCACCCTTTGGCTTTGGAAGTATCTTTCTAGCACTAACATGTGCATGAACAAATTAGCTCAAACTATTTAAAATCTGGTTTGCTCGCAATACATATATATGTATTTATGAAACAGATACCAGCTTGACCTTTATGATAAAAAGAAAAGAACACAGACAAGCTTACCGCTCTGACTATCAAAGTTTGGCTGATTTTCAGGCATATACTTCTTATACTGCCAAGCAATTCTCAAGCCCTTCTCCTGCAACTTGATGAAACAACATTCAAATTCTTCATGTTCCCAAAAACTAATAGACAAACAGCAAAGACAAGGGAATTGAAGAAGAGGGACACCTGTTCTGGAACACTACCACGAGGTTTTTCATCTTTGGAAGTGGATGGACTAGGCAAAGTACCCAAAAATGCTCTGGGGTCCTTTGCTGGACTGGCATAAAAAAGAGGTTGATTGTGAACAAGTCCCTGAGACATGAAATTCCTCAACAAAAGCATGTGGTGAGGTGCTTCAGCATCTTCCATCACCATCACTAAACTTCCCAGTGGGAACCCACCACCTAGTATCTCTAAACATCAGAAACAAACAAATAAAACCCATGACCCATCATTCTAGATCACATTGGAAAACCAATAGGCAAAAGTGAAGGGGAACAAATGTAGATGATTACTGTCAAGATCAAGTATTCCAGATGAGACAAACATAGTGCCATTAGGACCACACTTGACTCCTGGTGTTTGCGAAGATGGTACAGCTGATAGGTTGCGAGAGAAGCTACTTAACCGAGGCTTTGTTGCCGCCATGGCAGCACCTACAAAATGCAGCTCTGCCCCGACCAATATAATCCCGACAGCTTTGATGAACAGAAGCTAGTTAATAACACAATTAAAAGTAAAATAACATTAAATCTGTATGTACTTCACGAGATAACAACATTACTATCCAGTAATGGCAACCTTGTTTTTCGAGTTATAAGTTTCATATTCAATATGACTTAGGTTCTAAAAAAAGAAAATTATTACATTCAATATTACCAAAAAATTCCAACCCATTGAAGTTAACCCATAAGTTGATATGATAATTCAACCACTCAGGCATCAAGCAAAAGACAGTGATTTGACAAACTTATTAATATTCTCTTGAAGCCCAATTTTTGTATGCTATGTTATATTTTATTTAAAAAAAAAAAAAAATACAAAGCAAAATTTGACCACCAATACAAGTTCTTTTGAAATATATTCAATCACTCATTTCAGCTCGACATTTCATCGAACACTTCACATGCAGTACAACCCAATGCATTAAAATCAAATTTTCATCGAGATAGTTAGCTGGGTCTACTAGCAACCAAACTCAGGGTTACATTGAACGAGGGTTAGTGGTCTCACCTTGGTTAGTGCCCTGCACAGTCTCTACGAGTGTGGCTGGCGAGCTTGGAGCTGATAATTTCTCTATTCAGAATTCTGTCAAGACTCGAGAAGGAGAACAGAAACAGACTGTACGCACCGTTTCGTCTTTAAATGAGGAGAATTAAGAGATGATACAGCATTATAACTCCCTTGAGATTATGTAATTCAATAATGCTACAGACACCGACGTTTTACACTGAAATGTTTAACTGAACGACGTGTCACCTGAGTTAGATGAGCCACGTAACACGTTAAGAAATATTTCGCGAATGAATGACCGTCCATCAAATATTAGACGGTCGTTCATTTGAAATTGACTTTCATCCATATTATAGGGATGTGAGTCCATTTACTATGAACGAGAATCCACCTATAAGGACGTCCATCTATAGTTTAAATTAAAAAAAATAAAAATAAAAAATCATGGACGTCCATCCATATATTATGGACGGGCGTCCCTATTAGATGAACGTTTATCCATTGTTTAAATTAAAAACAAAAAAACAAAAGTAATCTCATTCTTTTAGCCAAAGTCTGTGGAAACTTCCATGGCACCTGTTTCTTTACTTTATTTTTTATTGCAGATGGCGGAACCCTTGACTACGTCGATGTATGCAGTTTAGAGATGAACGTCCTTAAGACACCTATATTGAGAACATTGCGGGAAAGAGGAGATTTTGTTGTAGAGCAGAGTCCAGTTTCACATTTGGAGCCTTTTGATGAGAATGGACACTAAAGCCCCTCAAAATCTTGTGTGCAAGTTGCTAAAAAAGATGGTGAAGAGATTGAGCAAGCCTTCATTATTGAGGAACCTGCCATGGAAGGTTCCACAAACTTTAGCCAAAAGAATCAGATAACTGATGGAAAGATCACAGTCTTGTAACCTATGTTGAGAAATCAATTGCTGATAATGAGCAGTCTCATCAGACTCTAGCTCAAGTTGACACCTTAACTTGTGAAACAGGTGCTTGCGAATTCAATGGTCGAAAAGCGGGTCTTCAGGCAAAAACTGGAAAGTCCATGATTGGCCAGTCAACGTTTCCCTATTTAATGGACGGAAATGGACAGAGGAACGCCCGTCCATTACTTTTTTTTTTTTAATTTAAACAATGGACAGGCATCCATCTAGTAGGGACGTCCGTCCATAATATATGGACCGGCATCCATGATTTTTGTTATCAATTTTTTTTTTTTTAATTTAAACTATGGACAAGTGTTCTTATAGGTGGACTCCCGTCCATTTCAAATGAACGGTTATCCAATAAAAATGGACAGCCGTTCATTTGCGAAATATTTCTTAACGTGCTACGTGGCTCGTCTGACTTAGGTGACATGTAACACCCACATCGAGGTATGTAACTTTACTTATGCCCTAATACCCTTAGTTAAATTTTGTTAAAGTTATCTTGAACAAGTGTGAAGAAAATCCCTTAAAATTTCATTAGGGGTAAAATGGTCTTTTCACTCATAATTAGTTGAAAAAGTGAGGAGTGAAAAGAAGTAGAATAACATGAAGAAGTTAATAAAAATGAGGGCATTATGGTAATTGACTAAGAGACAGAGATGAAATTTCATAGAAAGTGCAAGGGTAAAATGGGAAATTTTAAATAATATTTTGTTATATCAAGAGTTGAAGAATGAAACCCTAGCCATTTCTTCTCCTCCATTCACGCCACCTTCTACCCAAGCTCTCTCAAATTTCTTCAATCATTTTTCAAGGAAATTCATAGATCTTGGTTTATTTTTAGTGGAATTTCAATCCCAATCATCCTTAGGTAAGATCCTTGCACTAAGATTTGAGATTTAATTTTTAAAGTGTTGAATTCTTATGATTTGTGTTCATAGGATTAAGAGAAAGAGAGTTGGATCAAGGAAGACTACTAAAGTGTTGGATTGCTCACATCTAAGGTAAGTAAATCCAACCCTAGTTATGATTAGAGTAATATTGTGTAGAGAATTTCTTTTATGCATGTATGTGTTTATATACGAAGAATTGTTGATGGAATGAATGTTGAATGATGGTTAGAATTTATTCATGAGAAGTAGTGTTTGTGTACTTGATGTTTGATGAGAGTTTGGATGAATTATGGAAGAATTGGAGTAGAATTTATGGATTGTGAATCCTGTACAGGTTTGACGTTAAATCTAGTGAGTTTTGATCCAAATTTTGGTGGCTTAGAAGAGATGTAGAAGTGTAGCCAATTTAGAGTTTGTGTGTGCATATAAATTGTTTGATGAAATGTCAAAGAGAAATGCATATATGAGTATGATTATTTGTTATCTTGAGATGAGTTTGTAGATGGTAGAGAATGACATGTTTACATTCCATATTGTATTGTTGCATCCAAACATGTGAATTTAGAAAGAATAATAAACATGAGCCCATCTAAATGAATACATACTCATAAGAGCATTAAATAGCATTAAAGAACAAATAGAAAGAAATGAGAAATATTAAAGAAGTTCAAATTTGAAATTTTATTTAAAGAAGTGTAAAAAGATAAAAGAAGAGAAAGTTGTTGCCATAGGGAACCCATGAGTGACATAGCCCCGCATGCATGCAGCCTTTAGTGAGCGGCCTCAGAATCAGAAAGAAGAATTGTACAGTCCGTTAGAAGTGCATGTGGATAAGGACTGTACCCAAAATTAGAGAATACACTCACACGACTAGGGTTTCGAATCCATGCATCAACATAGTCCGGTTGGCAAGAAAGAAAGAAAAGAATAGAAAGAAAGACATAATAGAAAAGAAAGAAAATAATAGAAAGAAAGAAAGAATAGAAAGAAATACAGGGAAAAGAAACAGAATAAGAAAATAGAAAAACATAAAAGAAAATGCACATCCTATGCATTTGTGCATTTGCATCATACCTATGCATGATACCATGCCTACTATCATGAGTAGTGAGAAATTAGAAATTGAGATAAAACAGAGAAGAATAGAAAGGTGTGATGTAAGGAAAGAAATTCAGAATTTAAGCAACAAAGAGAGAAGGGTAACATAGTTGGTTTACTTACTGAGCAATTATTGTTCACCCCGTTGTTTTCAATGTTTTTTGCAGGTAATAAGTGAGATGTGGTCGCTTGGAACGTTAAGAATCGGAAGGGTTTGGCAACACTGTCAAGTGATGTTTTGTGACTTTATTATATTATGTAAAGATTTGTATATAAAGAAATGGGCCAATTATTTTATACTCATCTACATGTATATTTTCTTATATATATTTAGTGAGTTTCACTGTTATTTTATGAGTATACTAGCTAGAGAGAGAAAGTATTACATGACACATCATTCGGTTTAACATTTCGATGCAAAGCATTGGTGTCCGTAGTATTATTGTATATAATTAATGTAAACCTCTCCTAAAATATGCTTTATTATCACTAAAACTCACTTAATGGTGTAAAACCTCAGAGGAAGGCACAGATTATTCTTATGTCCCCTTAAAAATTAAATAAAAACTTTGCTTAAAATTTTGAAATCATTTTTTTTTTTTTTTTTGTAATAAACATATCAAAATCATGCTAGGTGTGATGCGCATGTCTCCCGATATCTGAAGGTATGATGCTAATATCAATCAAAGCTGGTAAGTGTGCCTAACAATGCAAGTAAAATTTGCCCCACTTGGAGGCTGGAGCCTAGTTGCCAACTAGGCCATACCTGTTGAAGACCTTTAAAATTAGAGTAAAGGCCGAACGACATGCACCCACCCATGATTTATCGTAAAGACAAATTGGTACCCTCAAAGTTTGGAAATGACAAACACCAACCTTCCGTTAGTATTTGTTGTTAAATTTAACTGAATAAAGTTAAGATAGTAAATTCAAAAACAAATAAAGGGTAATCATGTCATTTTATCCCTTTCTTATTCTGTTAAACTCATATTTCTTCTCTCCTCTTCATCTTCCACCTTTCTTTCTTCAAAGCCGCCGCCGCTGCCAGCATTCTTGCTGCGGCGTTCTTTCCTTCTTCCTTCACATTTTCAGTTGATCTCACCTCCCATCACCATCCTCCTCCATCCCCAGCCGGATTTGACCCATTTTTGGCTGAAATTTCCTCTTTGCCGTAACCCATTTTCACCCTAGCAACCGCTGGATAATTTCTTCTTTTTCATTATACCCTTTAATAATTTCTTCTTTTTCATTCCCAAAAAAGAAAGAAAGAAAGAATTTTCCATAGAACTTCCAAGAGAGATTAAATTATAAACCGCATTCATAGCTTACCCTCCAACACCAGAGAAAAAGACAGGAACAGGAGCCAGATTCTTCAGAGCAGACATGAGATGAGAAGCAAGGGTGTCCCCAAAGACCTTTCCTGCTACTAGGAAAACTCTTAGTTCCCCATCTTTAATGGCCATGTCAACTACACTTTTGCTTGAAGTTGACATCCATTTTCTCTGTAATTTCCACAAAGCCGTGGTAGTTTTACTCCTCCTACTAAATATCTTGTTCAATATCATCTCATACCTTTTGCTTGCTTTAACACAGTGCAGGTTCCTATTTCTTCTCGTCGAAACTGTACTAATTCAAGCCTCTGAATTCTCTAATTTGAGTTTGGGCTGGGCTGATTGTTCATTATTATTGGGGTGAATACGGCGGTTGCTAGGGTGAAGATGGGTTATGGGAAAGAGGAAATTTCAGCCAAAAAATGGGTCAAATCCGGCTGGGGATGGAGGAGGATGGTGATGGGAGGTGAGATCAACTGAAAAGGTGCAGCAAGAATGCTGGCAACGGCGGCAGCTTTGACGAAGAAAGGTGGAAGATGAAGAGGAGGGAAGAAATGTGAGTTTTAACTGAATAAGAAAGCGATAAAATGACATGATTACCCTTTATTTGTTTTTGAATTTACTATTTTAACCTTATTCAGTTAAATTTAACAACAAATATTAACGGAAGGTTGGTGTTTATCATTTCCAAACTTTGAGGATACCAATTTGTCTTTACGGTAAACCATGGGTGGGTGCATGTCGTTCGGCCTAGAGTAAATGGCTAATTTACAAGTTCTCACCTTTAAATTAACATCTTCTTAATTTTTTGTTTCGATACAGTATAAAATTTATTATTACCAAATTATCCTTGAGAAATAATTAGTAAATTACTTTTTAACCCCAACGTCTGCACAACCATTCGATTTAACCCCAATCTAGGCTGATTGCGACAGCGTTGATTTGCCCTATCGCCACCATCACCCACTCCACAAAAGCCCTTTGGTTCCCGACCATTTCATCGGCAATTTTGGTTTTAGGGTTTTGCTGTTCTTCACCAAATTTCAGCCATATCTAGCGATCAAAATGCAATCAGACACCACCTTCTCAACCAGCAGCTCTTGCTCTTCATAACCCTCTCTCACTTGCAACTGTTGCTCGTCAATTCGCCAGCCGAGAGTTCGCGATTTGCCGATTTATGCTTTTTTGGAGGTCGATTTGGTCAAATGTTTGGAGTTTCAGGATTTTGGTTATGTTTGAAGGTTGTTTGTGTTTGTTATTGGAGTGTTTGTGTTGTTTTTTTGGGGATTTGGAAAAGTTTGCAACCGAAGTTCGTTGGGTTTTTGGGTTGGCACACCATCTACTCGATGAATTTCCCCAACTAGCCTGCCTGTCCATAGCACAAGTACACACACATCTGCAACGCCAGCTCCCAGCCCCCTGTGTGCACCTGCTAGGCTGATTGTGACAGTGCCGACAATGGTGGTGAGTTGAAAGAGGGTGCTTGTGAGAGAAACTTGAGATGTGGAGGGTTATTTTGAAATTTTTATTTTCATTTCAAATTTAATGCAATGGAAATGACTATTTTACCATTTGACTATTACTTTGAACATTTTTCTGTTAATTTAAGGGTGTGAATTTGAAATTTATGAAACCAGGATTTAAGGGTAGGAATTTGAAATTTATGAAACCAGAGTGGGAACTTAGCATTTCATTAAACCTTAGGTGAGAACATGTCGTTTACTCTTAAAATTGTATGAGATTTAGATAATTAGAATAAGATAAACATATTTAGATAGTCCTATTGAAATCTCTATTTTAAAAAGGGGTTCGGACCGGCCAGTCTAATCGGGACTTAGCAGCTTCTCCGATCCGATTCAGGTCTTAGGAGGTTTTTATAATATTTCAAAATTATAAGGGTTATTTTGTAATTTTATAGGTGTGTTTTGGAGATATATTAAAAGTTTATGGATTAATTGGTAATTTTTTGAGGTATTTTTAAAATAAATAAAAATTTTAGGAACTAATTAAACTTTTAGAGGAATTTTTGTAATATATTAAAATTTGAAGAATTAATACGTAATTTAAAAAAATTATCGCTGCCGTCATTGTTCCAACTGGTCGATATTGACCCATGACCTGGTAGCAAAACAGATTATCCTTTGTCCGAGTTTTAAAACAATGATTGAAATTAAAGGATCTTAAACTATTTGTAAAATCACAACTGCCCACGTATGATTAGCTCATACTTCTCGATAACTTTTAGTTCATATAGCTCTTTGTTTTAAGAATTCAGGTGGTCGGAGGGGAAATTCCCAACTCTTTTAAGAGTTTTTTATTTATTTCAGTTTTATGCTGACTGAATTCTATTTTATACAATTGATTTTCTACCGGAAAAATCCATTGGCTTTAAAACTAACATATACACTTTTATTATAAAACTGAAGTAATAACGTAGAGAGACAAAGTAAAGCACTAAATTTATCCCTTCTTCTCTATGTTTCTATGCATATCTCCATCGTCTCTGTTTCTGCTATTGAAGCCTCTATTTATAGGATTGAAAGATTTTAATACAATAAACGTATAATGTAAAATCCAATAGATCGTCGTTTGGTTCACTATTTTGTCACTATTCTATTTTATTATACTATCTTAAAAACCCAAAAATACATTTATTTCAAATAAACACCCCCAATCCCCCACTCACCTACATTTGCCTGATTTCGACCACTACCATTAGAAGGTGGTCAGAATCTACCGTAATGATGCACTATCAGTTGGATCTAACCGGTTGCGCCGATATGACTTTTTTCTAGCCAGATCCACTGTGGATCTGGTCGAAAAAGGCTAGATCTACAACGTAAAATCTGACCATTGACGACCGTCATATCTTAGCCATCGTTTGACCGTGAGCGACAACCAAGATATGGCTGTCAATGACGGTTAGATTTGACGCCATAGATCTGGCCATTTTCGACTAGATCCACGATGGGTCTAGCTTCTAGCTAGAAAATGTTAGATCGATACACTACCAGCCAGATCCACCCGATAGTGCGCCATTACGACAGATTCCGACCATCTTCCGACGGTGATGACCGACTACTAGCAATACGAGGTTGGAAGAAAATGTTTTTGTCAATTTATAAACTTTTATTATTGAGGGTGTTTAGTTAAATTAACAAACTCAAGAGGATTAAAAATAATCTAAATATTTTCAAAAAATGCTATTAAAATATGTACAAAAAATACTTCTAATACTACTCAACTCAGCTTTTTCCAAAAAAAACTATTCTCAAAAGTGCCAAAATAATGAACCAGGCCCCTCTCATTACTGCACCAAGAAAGCTTATAGAAATGTCACCCATTAATACATGCATTTAGAGCATGGATTCATAACAGCTTTAAATTTATAAAATAGGCACCACTTACTTCAGATTTTTCTTTTCCCTAGTCTTCTAATTTTGTTCAAAACCCAATCCAATTCAAAGTTGAAAAAATATCTTAACCTTTTCTTAATTAGAAGACCCATTTTCCCAAAATCTTTGTACAAGTTCAGCCAAAAATTATTCATATTTTGGGTCTTTTATTTAGAATTTGGAATTCCCCCACTATTAGGCATTAGCTACCCACCTTAACAATTGCAATACAGTTTATGATGATACAACAGCAAATACAGTGAACTATAATAGAAAAGAAAACAGAGGTCCAACTTCAACTTGATCAGAAATCTCTATCCTGTAATGGGATTGGATGTTGAAACCCAGATCCATGGATCAGATCACTTTCCCAGTCACCTGGAAGACCAGAGTAGAATCAGAAATTGCATAATTTATCTGTTCTGCTCTTGGTATGACATATCAGCTTTATATATCTGAATCTGAACATTCAACTTATTCTATATGGAGAAATTTGTTAACGAGTGATGGGCACATTAGCGACAGCAAATAATTCATGACACCAAAGTACGCCAAGAGTCGATTAAATATCCAGGAAGAACATTTACAGTACAGAAAACATCTTTTTTATAGATTAAGAACAGCAAACAGCAACACTGCCATGTCTATGACTTTTAACAAGACAAGATATTAACATGACCACCATTCTGTACAAAGACCTAATCCCATCAAAAGTCATACATTTATTTTTCGCTTCCAAAGCATGCCTGTCAGATTCAGATTTAGCCCTTGTGTGGCTCTGTCTGCAAGGAACAAAATGTTTACATAAATAAAACTGACATTTTTCAGCAGATTCAAAATAAAAATAATATAAATCACAAGGAATTAATCCATAAATAAATGACAAGGGAATTCCTCTTGACCCCTGAAAGTGAGAGATAGATCAGTCGGATCGTGAACTAAAATTTATAATTAAATATTGTTATTCCATTAGGTGATATATGTAATATGTAGCAACACCAACTTCTAGTGTAGACATAACCCCATCTTTAGGGCGAAAATTTTGTATTTAAACCAATGGCCTTTTATTTATGTTAAAACAGATAACAGCAAATTAAGTCCAATGCTAGATACCACTACAGCTATAAATTCCAAATATGGAAAAGATAACTCATAGCAGATCTGATAAGAATCCTCTGTTAATTTAAGAGACAACATCTTTTAAGTAACCAGAAGCAGGTTCAGTCATCAAATCTAAAAAAGACAGTCAACCTAATCATGGGTTTCACTCCTGGCTCTGTAAACAGCTCATAATACACAAACACAAAATCACATGATGGTGTGAATCCATCTCTACGTGTCCCCATTTCCCTATCTATCTATATAAATTACTCTCGCTAACAATCTGTATATTTCTCTAACAATTCTTCAGAAGCCATGCAAACTGACCTTTTTCTAAAATTTGACAAATAAAAAAATAAAATTTTATAATTAAAGTTAAAACGAAGATAATTTTACATGGTTGCTAATAGCCAGATATAAACTGAAATCAGACAAAATTAAAGGAGTAACATGCAATGGAGCATAAGCTTTAATCTAAAATAACTCAATGCACATCATTGAAATAGAAATCATTAGTATATGTACCTTATCAGAACCCTGTTTATCTTTCTCCAACTTCTCTTTCGCTGCCTTCTGCTTCAGCTTCTCCAGCCTCTCCCTCTCCATTTTCTTCACACAAAGAAATCAAAACCTTAAACTGAGCTCAAAAGAGATAACCAAAACTCCTGCAGAAGCACCTGAACTCAAAGTAAACTGGTTTCACAAGACCACTTAACGAATCCGATAGCCTCCATAAACCTAGTCTTAAAATTTAAGTCTTATGTCTGACATATAAGGATGTCCTAGATGTCTTAAAAGGATCATGTGGCTCCTAACGTATTCTGATCATTAAGTTTCACTAGCTTATGTGCGATGAAGGGCTAAGAATCTAAGGTTATTTTTAATAGCCTGCTATAAATCCTTATAGCTTTTTGTTTCTTGCTAGTGTAATTCAAAGCCCATATTATGAACTTCTTACAGCTAATTGAACCCAAACAGACACTTTCTATGTTCGAACTTCAATCTTTCTTATTTTTCACCTTTTGCTGTAGTCTTTTGTTTAATTGCTGGAAATTCCTCTTCAAACTTCTGTACATGTCAATTAGCTTGAGAAGATGATATCTTTTTGCCAGATCTAAATTTTCTATGTTAGATTCTAATCATAAATGCCGCAATAAAGTCACTCAACAAATAAATAAAAAGCAATTTAAGAAACAGGGTTATAAAAAAGGGCAGTCATAATTAATCATCAAACATATTGCTTTGACATGAAAATAGACGGAGGAAAAGAAAGCAACAACTCAAAGGATACTGTCCTATTTCCAAAGAACAAGAAGGAAAGTATATTGAATACAATTTTTCAGGACCCAACAAAATGTTAAATAATAAAAATTAAAAGAAAGTTAAAGAAAACCTATTCAGTAAGATATCAACACACGGAATGAAGAAGAGATAATACTAGCCTCACTTAAGCTGCTTATAAACCTCAGCATACAAGTAATATAAAAGAAAAATCACATATCAGACTGCTATCAGCAACAGAAATCTGATATCTCACCTCAAATAAGCACAAACACTCCTTTACATTGCATATTTTACAGAATAATCCCGCCAAACAGCTAGCTAAACCCCAAAAAAAGGCCACAGCACAAATAATCTATGAAGCGTTTATTTCACTACACTGCTGTGTCTTATGCTTAATCACAGGTGGATCCTCTTGATTTAAAATATAGTAGAACCTCCTAAATCAACCAATATAAAGAAGTTATACCAATTTGAAAAATTAAAAGAAAAAAAATTAATATTTTTTAAGATTCTAGCAAATAGCTTAATATCTAAAACCCGAGAATCCCCTTCTTCGTCCTCAACAGTTTCTCAGCAACCAAACAGAAAGTCAACCACAACAAAAAATTAACAAATTAAATTTTTTAAGAACATATGAAATATATAACAACAAAAATGGAACATATCCCAGCCAAAAAGCTCACAACCTAACTTCAACGAAGCAAGAAAACTCAAGCGTAAATTTATTGCAAAATTATAAAAAAGATAAAGACATAAATAAATAAAAACAGTGGTTTTCTCTTCTTATGTTTTTCATATTTCTACAAGTTTTCTCGAGAACCAAACAGAAAAAAGAGGAAATGATTAGAGAAACCTGAATGTAAACGTTCTCAGCAGCGCGCTCCTCCTCGCTCAAGACACGACCTTTGTCGTCGCTAAAGTAGCGAGTTGCTCCCCGAGTTGACTCCATCGAGCGCGTCAGGCTGAGTCGGCTTACTACAGCTCTCATCGCCATTTGATTGATTTTGACTGTTGTTTTCTTTGCTTGTGTGTCAAACTCAGAAGACTGCTCCTGTCTCTCGCCCTTGATGGTTACTAAATATAAACCTACGAGATTCTTCTGGATGAAACTGTTAACGGGTCGGGTCGGATAAAAAGTTGAATATATTCTAATTAGTTGATTCTTCTTTCGAGATTTTTCTAATATAGAATAAGTGCTCGTAAACAGTTCATAGATTTGATTTGTATGTATTTAGCAGAGGAGTCGTGTGTTTAAAAAAAAAAAATTAGAATATTTCATCCTGAAAATTTTTATTTATTTTAGTATTATAATATTATTAAATTAATATGAACTAGATAGATATTGACACACGATCGGTCAAATCCAATCAATTGTGCGCTGTTCCAACCATGTTGGTTGGCTGCGGTTGTCGGTGGCATCGACAATGGTTGTTGATAGGCGGTAATAGTCTTGGGTGGATTAATTTTTAAATTGGAATGAGAAAAAGAAAAAAAAATGTTTTAAGTTTAATAGAATTAGATAGAAAAATGTTTTAAGTTGAGTAATATCAAAAAAAGTCCCCCTCTGCTGATTTTTAGACAAAAAATGTTATTTGATTTAGATTAATTTTCAAAATAATGTTCCTAATAGGTAAACAAACACATCATATTTTTTAATCCAAACAGGATAACAAAATAATAATCTAGAATAATGTAACAAACATGAGCGAAATTAATTTGATCTACTAGAGGTGGGGTTGGGCCCTTAAGGATTGGTCCCAATTTGGGTCTGGGCCTTGAGGGACCGATCTTGGGCCCATCATTTTTGTGAGGGCCCGGACCGATCCTAGGCCTAGGCCTCGCCTATATAGGACCGGTCTTGGGACTAGTCTTATGCAAGCTTGATAACATCCATTTAGCCCCTTAATTTTTTATACATTTAATATATAATTATGTAAGGGGGATTTTGTAATTTATCAAGGGTGATTTGTAAATTTTTAATTAATTAGTAAATAAAAAAATGAATGATTATAATTTTATAATGATTTTAATTTAAAGACATAATTTAATTTTGGATTCGCAATGTGAAAATTTAATTTAAACTTAAACAATTAAATAAAATTATTTTTATTTAATTATTTGCAATTGTTGCGTCAAGAAATGATGAAAATAGATCGAACCCTTCTATTTATTGTGTGGATTGAGGAATTTGAATATAATACTCATTAGAATCGTATGGTGATGATGATCTTCGGAATCCATAATTTAAGGAATTCATTATGATCAAATAATAAATAGCCAAAAGGGATGAAATTGAATAATGAATGAATATAAATTGTAAATTGAATAATAGATGAAATTGAACCATAAATAAATATAAATATTAAATTGAATAATAGATGAGATTAAAGAGGGTTTGAGAATTGGAGTTGAGAGAATGAGAGTTGAGAGTTGTGAGGAAAATTGGTGGAAATTAGGCATTTTTATAGGCTAGGCGTGAGGGGAAAGTGCAAAACAACAAAGTATTATTACACTTTCCCTCATAGGTCTTTTTTTCCTTTTGATTTTTTTAAAATTATTTTAACTCTTTAATTTATTATGTATTTTGTATATTGTAGCGGTTTTTTGTTATTTGTCATGGGGTTTTGGTTATTTGTTAGGGAGTCTTTTGAAATTAACTCAACTTCTATTTGAGACCGGTCCCAAGCCCAAGCCCAAGCCCAAGCCCAAGCCCTATAGGAGGGATCGGCCTAGGCCTGATCACCTCTCCTCAAGGCTCGAGCCGGTCTCGAGACCAGACCCTTTGGGCTCGGGCCTTTTACCCACCTCTAGTTTTTACTAACCGGGAAAATCCCACTTGACGGTACCCAATTTTTGGGTCGGTTCGGGTTTTAAACTTCTAAATTTTAGTACTCCAAAATATTATCCACTGTGTTTGGTTCATTATTATTTTCCATATTCTGGACCTGATTATTAGGATAGTGTTTAGTTCATTTTTTACATAATTCTATTCCCAAAAATACAATTCTGACACATTTTTGAACTTTACAGCTTTTCACATTTCTTCACCCATTTTTGACCGTTACAGCACTGCATCTTCACATGCTTCACAATTTTCTTCACTGAATCTTCATAGCTTTTTCAGTATCCATTTTTGACCGTTACAACTTTCACTTTTCTTCACTGCTTCACCATTTTCTTCACTGCATCTTCACAACTTTCTCAGTATCCATTTTTTATTCACTTGAACCCAGCTCAGCTCCCCACCGTGAACCCACGTCAGCTCCCCAACCACCGTGAACCCACGTCAGCTCCCCAACCACCGTGAACCCATCTCAAATACCCAACCACCGTGAACCCACAATCCCCAACCACCGTTAACCTAGATCTATCACACACCCTTCACCGTTTAGCCACCACCGTGAACCCAGATCTGTCACACACCCTTCACCGTTTAGCCACCACTGTGAACCCAGATCTGTCACACACCCACCTCATATCTTGTTTTGTTTGGCAAATTGTTGGGAAGGTGTTTTGCGTTTTTTATTTGGTTGGCACATTGTTGGAATTGAGTTTTTGTTTTATTTTTGACACGCATTAATCCTTTTAAATGTGTTTTGGTTTTGTTTGGCAAATGGTTGATAAATGTTTTTGTTTTATTTTGACACGCATTAATCCTTTTAAATGGGAGGTTTTTGTTTTGTTTGGCACACTAATGATTTGTTTTAATAAGTTTTTGTTTTGTTTTATGGTTTATAATATTTTATTCGGATTTCACTAATTGATATATTTGTTCTGTAGATTCGACATCGTTCTTTAATCGTAACAAGAAATTACGCTCATATGCACATATGTCAGTATAATTTGTCTCGACGTTGTAGGATTGATTACTACTTGCAGTAGAGGCGAAAGTTTCGACGTTTTTCCAGACTTGGAGTTCGTCATACACCCTATTGGTCGACATTGTCTATATCTTCCCCTGTATTGACGTCTTCAAGCAGTGTCGGATCAAACGAGGTATAAGTTTATAAGTTTATGTGTTTAGTTGATTATGTTAACATGTGAGTATTATATTTTGTAATGTGATTGGTGATTCGTATGGTGTCCTAATGTTGGTTGTCCCTCACCGTACTATCCTTAGATGGGTGATTCTGTGGCTTGGTCTGCTGAGATGACCCACAGATTTCTGGTCCTGTTATCTGAGCGGGCTAAAACTTCGCACGGTACTGCAATAAAAACAACAGATTACCAGGCAATGTTAGACGACATATCATCAGTGGCTAGCTGGTGACTCAACGTCACACAATTAACCTCTAAGTTCTTTCGCATGCGAAGAACTTATCAAGCATGGCGGAAATTGCTGCAACACACGGGGTTCGGGTGCGATCACGAGTCACAAAGTCCAACTTGTCCCGTTGAGGTTTGGCAAGAATATGTCAAGGTAAATTTTCATATTTTTTTAACTAACATTATTCAACGACACCGTAAATATACGCATTTTTTTCGGACTGCTAAATATTAATATATTATTATTTTAGCTTACCAGCAAAACCCACTGGCGCAACAATTTTACCACAAAGGACTTCCTCACAAGGAGCTTTATGAAATAATATTTGAGAAGCAAACTGCCACCGGAAGATATGCGTACACATCTACATCCCAACCGGTGGAGACCTCCAGTTATTCCAATCCCGGCGTGGTTCCCATGGATGATAGCGACTTTGAACCTGATCCTGATCGGACGACTGGGGAAAAACGGCCAAACACATCTGGCCATGGAAGAGTGAGAAATAGGAGGCATAGAAGCGGCTAGGGACAAGCACTTGCGGATGCCATTTTTAGCTTGACGAACGAGCTTGCGGAGAAGCGGACTATGGGATCGAGGGTTAGCAATCGCAGTGCAGATGAGAGGGAAGAAGAGAACACCAGTGCTCCATGTGATCCTTTTTCCATGAGCAATTGTATTGACATCATGATAGCCATGCAAGTACCGACACAGTTTTACCTGCCAGTTGTCACGTACTTATATGAAAATCCAGGGTGACGGGAGATATTCGTGAAACTCCCAATAGAGGAAATGGCTAATTGGATTTTTACCAAGTTTCCCAATAATAAGTAGATGACACAATATTTTATAAGTGTTTGGCAACAGTTTTGTATGCGTCAGTAGGCAATTGTCATTACAATTACAATTTATAACGCTATTGTATGAACTTATGTATGTGATATTACATGTGTAAACACCATTTTCGATTGTCATTACAATTACATATTGACTGTTATATTTTGCTAAGTAGTACAACAACTGTTAATTTTTGATAAATGTTTTACAAATGTGTAGGTTTAAATGGCGCCGTCTAGCCGTACAGGAAGAAGACGACGTGCTATAGATGAGAGGGACGAAAAAGAAATATTAATAGATATAGCCGTTGCACTCTGCGGTGTTGCCGCGTTAGAAGCAAGTAGGCGTGAACCACGACATACATCCGTATTAACTGGTCATCAGTACATGTTGGAAGTACTCAACAGTCATCCTGACAGGATCTATGACAAGTGCCGCATGGACAAAGATTGTTTTACATTGTTATGTGAAATTTTGTCTGATCACGGCAAATTGCAACCAACTAGGACGACGAGTGTGGAAGAACAAGTTATGATATTTCTAACAATCGTTGGAAAAAACGAGACAATTAGGACGATGATGGAGGATTTTCAACATTCGGGTGAGACGATCTCTAGACATGTTACCACAGTTTGCAACGCTATATGTGAGTTGAAGACAAAGTTTATCAAACCACCTGACTTCAATGATGTTCCATTGGAAATATCAACCAACAGAAAATATTACCCTTTCTTTAAGGTACTGGTTCATTATGTTTGCTATCAGTAGATAGTTAAGTTCATTGTGTTATTAATTTTTATAGTAGGTTAATATGAGTAAAATTCAATTTTCATTATAGGATTGTATTGGAGCCATGGATGGCACACATGTATACGCTTCAATTCCACGTGAATTTGTCGATAGATACCGGAATCGCAAAGGATCGATGTCACAGAATGTAATGGTTGTATGTGACTTTAAAATGATGTTCACTTATGTCGTTACTGGATGGGAAGGATCTGCGCATGATTCGAGAGTTTTAAATTCAATTATTGATGATCCTAATTCTGGATTCCCACATCCTCCACCAGGTATAAGTATTTTCTTGACGTATTATAGCGTATTTCCTCCACTGTTGAGGCCTTGTAATTCAAATAAAATGTCTGATATTATTACAGGGAAATACTATTTGGTTGATGCGGGTTATGCAAATAGGGATGGGTTCCTCGCCCCTCATAGGCAAGTGGCTTACCATATTTCTGATCACCACCGTAACCGAAGGGGGCCACAAGAGTTGTTTAATTACAGACATGCTTCACTCCGCAATGTTATCGAGAGAACCTTTAGTGTTTTGAAAAAAAGGTTCCGTATTCTAAATGGAATGAACAATTATCCGTTGGACAAACAAGGAAAGATTGTAATGGCATGTTATGTACTTCATAATTTTATAAGAATGTACAATATGGACGACCGTATCTTCGAACAAACCAATAATAGTACGGGTAATGAGCAAGCATATTGTGATCATCAAAACGGGGCAGAATATGGCAGAAATGGAGAAGGATCGAGTCAACCGCAACAAGGTATTATAGACAACATGATGACTGTACGGGATAACATAACGAATGAACTGTGGGTAGCACAGTGGACCATGTCATAGTTGTTAATGGAGTATACGTGTAATACTGATTGTAAGGGTTGATAATTAGTATTTTTGTCATATATGTATTAATGTGATGTTTTTAAACAGTTGGATTACTACTTGAAATTAATATGGGTTTTTGTTTTTTAATATATACGGGTAACAAAATTACCAATAAAAAATTTAGTATTATTAAAATGTGAGGTGATAAGTTATATATATAATAATACATTATTTTAACAAAATACAATAAAATATTATATTAATAAATCATTTATAAACAAATATATTAATCAAATATTTAACACAAATATCAAGGTCAAAATACTCTACCAAACACATATTCTGAAAATCATATTCTCGTAATCATAACCCTATCCAACTATCCAATACTATCCTCAAAATCCTATCCAAAATACTAAACCAAACACACTCATTATCATCTTATATTCTTATTATTTTCTTTTCTAATCATCATTCATCAAAACCTTTTAAACTCTACTTTTATAAATCCGATTAATCATCAATAATTCGAACAATCAGGTTTACAGAATTGATCTTGCCAAATGAAATTCCGATAATTCTAACCATTAAAATCCACCATCTTATCACCAAACACTAGTCGCTCTCTTCTTTTTTTAAGTTTTAATAGCCTGCAAATTATTGGTTGCCGCGTGGTATTAATGCTTAACTAAACGAGACAAACACTTTCTTGGTATAATCAATTAATAATATAAATATATGTTTGTTGAAGCACGTGCTATTGTTGACCCTTCAATGCTGCGCTGGTAATTTGATTGTGAATTAAGCCCTGGAAAAAACTTATATTTAAAAAGAATAAAAAAATTAGAAGATAAATTAGAATTGTCTGCTACCTAAGTTCAACCTTGAAAATTTATTAAGTTTATCATAACTTTTATGCAATTAACCGGTTCATCCATATACAAATGAAAACTATGATTTTACAAATATTACATTAAAATGGGCCTCCTATAACTCATGTTCACTCTATTCTATCATCCCAAATCCCAATTTCTATAACTTTTGTAAAACGACGTAATTGACCATCCAATGCCATACTAATTACAAAAATCAAAGAATTAAGAGCACCAAAAATTAAGGTAATACTATTTGCAATTTTGACACAATTAATTGCTCATACGCAGCTGCTTGCTTCATACTTCCCTCGTTTCACCACTCTGCACAGGGGAACTTCTCCGCTCCTCTTTCTCCTCATTGCCAACTTCTGTTTCTTCGACACCAGTTGTAGCTCTGTTTTCGTCCACAGAGCCGTTACCATCTTCCTTTATGCTCATTTCCTCTCCATTATTTACTTGTTTCGGGAGTTCTTTTGACGGAGAGAGTATTAACAGGCGACCGATGCCATCATATAAATTCTTAGCCTCCATGATAAGTGCAGCCCCTCCAGGGTAACAACGCCCATAGCATGTGGCACAATGTGGATAAGAAACCTGCAAAAGAGGGTGTTCATAAGAACGTGAACGCTTACATATACAATTTGCAGATTTAAAATCAGCCTTAGGACAAAAAGCACCTCTATAAATGCTCGGCAAAGTGAGTGGAAAAGTCCAGACTCATTTTCTCTAAGCATCCGAGTTGCACTGTATCTCAACAGAGAATCCGAGACAGCCTGCAGCCCCTTAATTAGTTCTTGAGCAAGCACGTGCTTCAAACTCAATGGGGCACAGGGGCGTAACTCATTCATTGCAGCAGACACACCTATAATAGCCACAGAGAGAGAGAGAGAGAGAGAGAAATGCCAAAGAGATTAGCAAGTCTAAATGATACAAATTGTTAACAGATACTATGCTTAATAATTATTAATAGAACAATGAATTTAGTTAAAATTTCCAAAGAATATGAGTAAGCAATCATGGAAAATGCAACACCCATAAAATTGAAATTTTGACTGATATTAGTATTTTTGAAATTGCATTTTATGCTAAGTAAAAGATGAGCAATTGAATAGAGATAGTGTGATTGCAAAATTATGTGGGATTAGGAAAACCCCTTAACCCAAAATGCGTATATATAAATACCCTATATTGAGGACTTGAGAGTTTTGTTTTTAATAGTATGTTATTCTAGAGCCAATTGAGCATACTTGAGTACAACACCTGGAGAAAATATCTTTGTGAAGTCCTTGATTTCCAACACTCATATTAGTCTTGGGATTTCTTACACAATCATTTTCTTATTTCACTTTTCACAATCAAGATCATGTAGCAAATCCAAAAATCATACCCTAAAATTATATATTTTGTTCTACATAAAAGATCTCAAAAAAACCCTAAATCAATATCATACATAAAAGAACAAAGACAATGGCTCATTAATCACAAAACTTTTTTGCGTTGGGTTTTCTCTACGTTTCATCCTTAAGTGGCCTCTTCTAGTCTAGAACTCTTAAAAACAAAGCTACAAGTCTTACTATAAGGTGTGTAGATGTACACATATTTAGGGTAAGGGATTTTTCAAAGCCCACTAATAATCTTATCACAATTCTGTATTCCCTATTCCATTTTATAAAAACAAAATTCTCCCTTTATTCAAATTTCAAAAATAGCAAACATTTTGTCAAAATCTCTAATTTGTGGGTGTCACAAAAAAGTAAAAACTTTTCATCCCAAGCATTGCTATTTTCCACTTCAGGAATACAATTTATTCTCCTTTGCCCTTTAGATCATTCTCAATGAAACAATCTGAAGTGGCAGACAGTGTCACCATCATTGTGAATTATGACACTGTAAGTTTGCCTAGATAGGAAATATATATCCATGTCATCTTTGCACTTGAAAAAAAAATTTACCTACCATGTTACAATTAGGGATGAGAAGCAAGTCAAGCAATTCGCGAGCTACTCGAGCTCGGCTCGTGAAAAGCTCGAACTCAACTCGAAGTCAATTGAGTCAGCTCGAGCTCGAGTGGCTCGTTTAAGGGGTCGAGCCGAGTTTGATCAGGGCGAAGCTCGGCTCGATAGGCTCGCGAGCCTCATCGCACTCAGAGGGCCAAATTGCAGGTTTTGTAACTTTTTTTTATTTTCAAGTTTTTAAAATAACAAACAGCCCCCTTCTCACAATAAACTCGAAGCCCAAGCTCGTTCGAGCTCGAGTACCCACCCATACTCACGAGCTCGAGCTCAAGCCCAAGTATTCAAGCTCGAACGAGCTCGGCTCGAACTCGAACTCGACACTGTACATCACAAACCGAGCTCAAATGTCCAAATACTCGGCTCAGCTCGTATACACCCCTAGTTATAATTTTAAACTAGGCAAATTACTGTTATCAGGATTTATAACAAACAAATTAGGGGAGCAAGTGAGAAATATAGGTAAAACTTACCATTAACAAACACTGCAAGAGGTGGATGTTCCAGTAAATGAGATGGTGGTGTCACATTATCCTGACTTTCATCACCAGTACTATTGGCTGGAAAGCCAACCGCTGGTAGTGGAACCCATCGATGGGAATCCAAAACTAACTGAAAGTTCAATAATACAAAAAACTATGATCGCCAAGCAGTACATTGTTTATTCAAACTATAAAATTTCAAAATGTGACACTTTGCCTATTTACCTGAAAATTCTCTACTGCTGTACTCATATTCTTTGAAAATAAGTTGAGAACTGCCCTGTAGTGTGGCAAAGTTCAATTTCATTATGAGGAAAAATAAAATAAATACAGAATCTTACCAACCACCACCCCTTCCCCCTCCCAGCAACCCCACCCCCCTAAAAACAAAAAGAAAAAAAGATGGTAGCTTTACTCTTCAAATAGTAATGGAAGCAGGCCTCGAAAATCCAGCCCAACCCAACCAAGGCCCATGACACAATACTGACAATATCAAAAAGAAAAAAGTCATCAATCAAATTATGGGCACAGAAGAACTTCAAATACCAATGCTAACTAAGCAGTCTTCACGCCCAGCAGGATTAACAAGACCAAAAACATATTTCCTTATTCAACCAAAACACAATGAACAAAAATTAGGAAGAGTTGCAACAGTCAAGATGAAACTCTTTTTCAGCTGAAATTCGATTCTAAGAACAATTCCACAAGTTAACTACAAAATAGGTTATATTCCTCAAAACATGCTCATCTAAGCAGGAAAACATTGAATCAATGGATTTGGTACATTTTCAGGAAAGCAAAGAAGAAAAGTATACATTTGTAAGAGAAAATAAAAGTCAAGTAGATACTACTTTTACTGTGCATACATTCCAGTCAAAAGCTTAAAAAAAAAAAATGCATCAGACATGCATGCATGTAAAGCTATAAAACAACATTCTTACCATGCATTGGTCCAGAATGTTTGACAGGGATCCACCCTCAGTTATCTTTGGGAGCATGACTTTAAGAGTTTTAAGGTGTGAGGTGATTTGATGCATAGCCCAACTAAAAAGAAGGCCACCATCATAATTCTCTTCACTTCCTGATGTATCATCAGCAAATATTGCTCTATATTGGTTAACAACATCAAAAAGATGCATTCTATGACAATTTATCATTCCTTTCAAGTACTCATAAGCATTTTTCTGGTCCAGATCCTCGAGAATTCCAGTAAGCCAAGCCTCACGGCATCTCAAAAATTGAAACATAAATGCTCCTGGTCATGTAAAGACATAAATTATCTATGTACATATCTATATCTATATGTGTGTGTGTGAGAGAGAGAGAGAGAGAGAGAGATAAGAAACTCCTGGTCATATAAGGTACACCAAGAAGTATTTGCCCCCCATCCAAAAATAAATAAAGGAAATCTCCCAATACACCATCACCCTAAACAAGAGAGAGAGAGAGAGAGAGAGAGAGAGAGAGAGGGTAGCAAGAACAACATTGAAAAACTTTACCTGCAAACGCATCTCATACTCAGTAAAAACTCCAATTCGGCGTAAATATCCAATAATTCGCAGACATTCTGGTAACTGCCATACCAAAATATATTCACAAAAATAAACAAAAATCCAACAGATGGTACTGGCTAAGTCAAGTTTCAATACTTGCATATGTTTAACAAAGTATCACATAATACCTGAATATTCGAACGAAGTTTCTGAAGAAGCTGAGAAAGAAGAGAAAGGGTTGTCTGCCTAACTTCAGCAGCCAGTGCTTGAATAATAGGTAATCTTTAAGAAGGCAAATAACCAAATCTCAATAAACACCTTTCACAAAGTTGACAGCCAAGATAATATTACTTCCTGTGAAATAAGGAGAACTCACTTGGGGTGCATGGTTGATAGTTTACAAACATAAGCTTCCAAGTCAAGCGCTTCATCATAATTTCCATTCCTTACACATCTGGAAAAAGAAGGAAAACAGTGAAGCTTTCAATACATAAATTTCAGCATCAATTAAGAGAGCATTAGTAATGTTTATCACGGGCTCCCAACAGCAATGCCTTTAGATGTTATGAACCAGCATTCATTTGTTAGAGAAATAAATGCACTGCGTGGCCAATGAACTCAAATAACCAAAGCAAGATCAATCCGAAGTCCTAAATGATTTTCTTTTAGGGGCTTAACAAAAGATGTTTGTGATACAATCAAGAAGATGGAGAACTAGTAAAACAAGGCAAGATCCAAATAATTAAATCAAGCAAGCAAATCACAAAAAACCGGAGCAAGTTCCATGCATCATGAAAATCAACAATAATGATCCTTCAAAATAAAGTTATATAAGTGAGCATTACAATAAGACCATAGACAAGTCTCCAGTGGTTAGATCTAAATCTCCAAGTAGGCTTGTCAAAGATCCTCATGATTCCCTCTTTTCAAAGAGCCCAAAGCTTTTATATAGTAAGCATTACAGATGTTCTCGTATTCTGTTTAACAATTACATCAGTTGCACCCCTTTATTTATTTTTTAGATTGCCCAAAAAGCTCTCAATGCATGCATCAGTTGAACTAGAGACATTTGATGGACTCTACAACCTTTAGTATCAAGAAACATGTGGAAATATAATAACTCAAGTAGGTGGCTCCAAGGGAATTAGAGTCTCTAACCCCCTAGCTCAAAACTAAAGGTCCTAATATGCAATTCATCTCTCGGGGTTACTTCAATTGCATCCTCAACCTTATGTATCATCATTGAATAACCTAAAAAATTTAGGTTTTTCATCCAATTTGAAATGCATATAGATTCCCAGCTTGCTATAAACGTTTCAATCATCAAAACAATTTAGGGTTAGAACCGACAATTGTCAAATATTTATATTTAGTGTGTAATCCATACTTGTGCATGGCATGTTACATCTCTCCGAAAATAGAGTAAAAAGAAATTTGTATCATATAATGAACCACCATAATAATACCCTAAAGGTGGCTACACTACCATGGCTTGACCAAACACCCTTAAGGCACAACATATAGCATGCATTACTAGGAGGATGCTTACTTATAAAAACATTATGAAACATAAAAAAATTAACTTAAATGATTTTTTTTCTAATTTATAGTGTAAAATAAATGAACAATTTTGGAAAGTAAATCTATGTTAACATGTGACAAAAATAGTTTAATAAGTTTGTCATGTTGACCATTGATTCAATTAACAAGAAAGCATCATAATTTTGTCAAAAACATACGTGTCCATAAGCTGAGGAATTTCAAGCAAATCAAGCAAAGTACTGTGATTTGCTAGCAAAGTTTGGTTCATCTTTCTGTTTTCCAAAATATGTTCAGCAGATTCAATGAATTCTGTACAACCAGATGTCAGTTTTGGGGTCTCAGTTATCTGCAAAATGAAATTTTTTTGTATCAATACATCTATGTTCATAATACTTTTTTTATTATCGAAACAATTTCATATTTTGCTTCTACTTCTGACAATAAACAAAAACAAAAAAGAAAAGTAAGAAGAATGATAATCAACTTGTTAAATGTTAGGTTCTGTAATTTTCATCTTTCGCCATTCACGTATATCATTTTTCATACTATGCATGAGTCTGCATCTATGTATATGCATTCCCATGAAGGTTGTAAAAATTTGAGTTACAACCGTCACAATTTTTCACATAATGATCTATTTGGAAAGGAAAAAAAACCTCTAGGATTTCTTGTTCTCCATATATATTCATTGCCCTTACTGAATTTCAAGTTGACAGTAAACAGAAACTATGTTACAGAAATGTGCTTAAAAATTAAAGTTTAACTATACAAGACTTTGTGTGCTCATAGAACAAATAGCCATACACACCAATGAGCTTCTATACCAAATGTAAAAGGATTAAATCCTACATATGTTTGTCAATGTCTATGCGTGCCCATTTGCACAAAGTTAGGATTGATAACACCTTTTGTATTATACAACTTCTAACATTAGATGATACATGCTGAGAGAATAAGATTACATTTGACATGTGTTAATCCAAATGGATACATAAATTTTAGCATACCATTTGTGACACTCAGCACTAGGCCATCATGGAAACTCAAGGCCAAGGCCCCTCCATTGTCTATATAAAGTTCTAGATCTCCAAGCTCCAGGTTCACTTTTTCAACTTCCACTCTTTCTATAATGTTTCCACCAGTTGGGAACTTTTCTTTATTAAAACTCCTTTCACCAAAAACTGACTTGAATGTCAGTTGGTTTTTGCCAGCCATCCCTGCCTGACAATCCTAACCATTCTTACTTCATGTAGACACTCTAGATCAGCAAGCAATACAACCCAAATACACTTTCAATCCCCTGACTCATTAAACGGATCCTACCTACTCTCCAAGATTGCCAAACAACTCAATCTGAGCACTCAACCTAATGCCCAAACGCAATTTATTTGTTGAGCCAGTTTTAGGCATCAACAAAGAGTTATTTATTCTTCATAAAATTGGACAATTCATCTGGGATCATTAACAAAATCCTCACAAACAAATAAAGCTCACATGAATGAGAGTACCCTCATTTACACCTACGAGTTACGACCACAAGAAACTAAGAAGAGCCAATCATATTTAAGTAATAAATAACTAATCATATAGAAAAGACGTGTTAGCATCCAAAGGAGATTTATTTTATATGAAAATTGAGAAGAAGAAATACTTTTGTCAACATAGAGCCTCTTCAGTTGATAACGGATTTTCTAAAGCAAAATTTCCCTACATAAAATATTAAATGTAGCCCAAAAACCTTTAATTTTCGTTGGCCTCTATGGTAGAATCAGTGGGGGCCTAAGAGGCGGTGGTTTACCCTGTGACAGAGAGTTCTAAGCTCTTGGTCTCTAAGGATTGGAGCATTCAATTATTGAAACATGCATGATGCTAGAGATACAAGCTGCATGGTTTTCTATATATAGTAAAAAAAAATATCTTAATTTTCTACACCAGACGGCTAGGATACAACACATAGCACACACACATGCATTTTTATTGCTTTATTTCTTATCTTCTTTGTATTTCATTTACAGGAAAAAAGATTTAAGAATCACTCGAACCTTCAGCTTCTGAAAAAGTTATTCAAATTAAATAGGCAGTGAGTCAAATGACCAAGAGACTAGACAAAATTAGTAAGAGAAAAAGAAGTCTATGTTACCTCAGCATGTTCAGCAGTGAATTAATGTATGCGAATGGATCCTAATTAAAGTTATATTTACATGATAAAATGCAATCTATGTTAGTTTACTACTTCAAAACTTACAATGCAACATTGGAAACCAAATAACAAGAAGTAATTACCAGAGATTCATGATGGCTATCAATAGAAGAAACTTCCTCTCGAATTACAAGCAATGCATCAGCTGCAGCTATAAATGCTCGGTAATTCCCCACCGCTACCTCTTGCATTTGCCTCTGAATCCTCTCCGCATCTACTCGAAGAAGCTCAGGCTCCTGTCAATGAAGAAAAATAACAAATGCACCGAAACAATTAAAACTCAAACTTAAAAATGAAACTAAACTAAAATCTGAGAGAGAGACCTTGTGGAGGCGATCGAGAGTGAAGGAGAGGAGCTCAGAGACATAAGGTTGCTGAGACACGGAGGCGAGAGGGAGGAGATTCGCCACCGTCGACGTTTCCATCTTCGGCTTCGGGTTTCGGATTTTGGAGAAAAAAATTCAGATCTCAATGTTCTGCAGTGTTTTGTAAAGCTTTCAGTGGTGATTAATCCGTTTTGTCTGTCTGATTTTAAAGCAGTTGTGTATTGAATCTGAGATTTTTGGGCCGCTCGAACTTGGCAGTTGAACTTGAACCGAGCCGATGGGTCCATATAAGCCGAGATAATTATTTTTATCCCTAAGGTTTGGCCTGAGTAGAATTTTTTAGTAACATTTTAGTCGCAGAGTCAAGTCAATTAATAGAATAACCAAAGTTTGTTAAATGTTAGGATAGCAAAAAAACCTGGCGGGGTTGGATACCCCGAAAAACCCGATCCCGCTGGACAAGATTCCCAACAAAAGTATAGGGATGGAAAAATTATGTTCCTAAAATTGGGGTTAATAATTAGCGGTGTCAACCCACCGGCCAGTGATAAGGACCAAAATGTTTCTAATATAGACTACATAAACTCTTATTATTGTAAGGTTTGAAAGCTTATACAACAAGGTTTCTCATCAATATTTATATTGAAATATATACAAACGTGTTATTCATTTCTTTTTATACAAATATAAATGAAAATAAAATCAGGGCTAATTCCTGATCTGTTGGCATGTTCCATTTGTTTCCATATAGCTAGAGTGGCTTTATTTCCTTTATTTAGGCACAAGTTAAGTATACAAGTTTCAAGAGTAACCACAGAGATGCTTTTCTTCCAACCTCTGAAATGAACTTCCCTACTAAGCCATTAACTCATGCCTAGCTTTTGCTTTTACTTTTACACCTGCTGCCCAATTGATCATCATGAATATTTTTTAATAATGTAGCAGAACAGTTTCAAGACATTGCTTTCCAATTGTTGATTGAAAACTGAACCAAGAAATTCAAAGAAACAAGACAATAATAATAATAATCTCTAAACCTCTAAGACAAATAATCACTTCAATTTCTGAACATTCAACTACTACAAACAAATAATTATAAGCTGAGATATATGAACAATCACAAAGAAATTAATTAATACACAGAGGCTTTTCGTTCTCTACCACCCTGCTGTAAGACCCCAACATATCCACCTCCCCCCAGAATAAACCCAAAATTTTGCTGCTTTCTTTCTCAACAACAGTATAACACAACACAGTAGAACAATATTACAAGTAAAATGGAAGCACAATGGGAGGAAAGAGAAGAGGCCTGGGAGGCATAGAAGTAGTAGTAAGGATATGGATAGTCATGGGGTCCATTTGTTGGTGGTGATTGACCTGATGGAGGTGTGTTACCATACTTAAAAGGAGGTGGGGGAGTTCCCCAGTAAGTCCATGAATTGCCTGGTGGTGGCGCCGACTGTGACAGCGGTGAGGGTGGCGAAGGCGGTGGTGGAGAGTGGTAGTAAGACTGCGGCGGAGAATGGTGAACTGGTGTAGGTGGTGGTGGTGATGGTGATGATGATGATGTTGGTGGAGATGAATACCCTTTTGATGGAGGTGGAGGTGAACAAATAGTTGGACATGTTCCACAATCACTGATGCATAATAAACCAGAGTCAGGAACTCCCACTTGGTCATCAGAATATGCCACTCTACTAAGCATCAACATCCCCATCATTCCAACCTTCAAGAGTGCAAGACTATTGACATGATGATCCATTTGGGTTAAGTGTTTGATATGGTTTCTTTCTGAATGGTGACTCAAAAACTCATCATGCTTACTGACCTCTGACTATATATATATATATATAACTTTTATGATGATTAATCATTTTTCCAAATAAGAAAAAAGGCAAACAAATTGGGCCTACCCTTGACTGTTTGATGGGAGTGAGGCAAATAAGACCCAGGAAGGAGAGAGCTTTACACTCTACATGCGTGTGTATGGCTCTTTGAAAAAATTTGATGCAGATGCTTATCTTTACAATGAAGTGGTTTGTATTGCTGTAAAGGAGAACATTTACTTCCTCTCTTTTCGCCTCTCATCCGCAAAGGATTTTTAGACATCCAATACTACTTTGTATTATAAGTCTAAAATCGCCATTTATTACTTAAAAGACTTTTTATAAACAGGAAGAGACAGCATCGTCAAAGACTTCTAGCACACTTGCTGAAGATTGCCAGAGTCTGCGGGGCTCTAGTTTCAGACTGGGTATCGGTAAGCGAGATCAGAGGATTTTTGAATTGTCAAAAAACAAATAAATGATAGTTTAACTCGCATATTTTTGAGATTCTGGTAGTGGTGATCTGATGGGTATCTGTTTGTGTGTGTGGAATGTGGATAGACATAGCATAAAACATTGGACCAAATGGGACCAGAAAGTCTAAAGTCTTCTGCACATTTCTTGTACAGATTTTGAAAAAGTTTACCACTTAGAACATCACTTGTTTCAAATACTGATCTCTGTCGCAAAGCTAGAATCTTCAATGTATTTTGTCAAAGATCTACCCTATCAATGTCTAATGTAAATCTTATAATATTAAAACAGTAAATTTTATGTCACAAAATTTCAATATCAGAAAAGAAGATTGAATGATTTGGGGGACCCAAAATGTGGTGCTAATGGGTTAAATGACATACCGGTGAAACACTATTGATGATGGATATGAATATAATTCATTATCTCCTCGGAGTTTGCAGCTAATTAAGTGTATTTGTATTATAATTTCATTTTCATATGGAGACTAGACTTATAGAGGGAATCCAAAGTCTTTCTTTCTTTTTCTTATACCTTTCTCTAAGCATAATCCATCTTCATGGGAATCAATATGATCATCTACGTAGCAAACTTTGTGCTTTGTCTCTTTAGTTTATACTTTTCTTTAAGGTATGGGCTTCCGAATCCCCTTTCCATGGCAGGGTTCCGGGGAGTTCTTACTTCTATTAGGATATCCTATAAGAGCATCTTTAATAGTACTTTTTATTTTGAAGAGTATTTTTATTAATTTTTAAATATAAAGAACATATTTTTTATTCAAATCCAATAAATTTTTTAAATTTAATGAAAATGTTCTTTATTTTTAAGAAAGTGACTTAATGTGAGAGAGAATTAATAAATAAAATGCATAGGAACTTATAGTTTATTAATTAAAATTAGGATAGAGAGTGGAATTTGACTCTCTAAATGTAGAAAATCAAAATCACTCTCTAATTTATATTTTAAAAATAAAGAGTCTGTTGGACTTTTGTTTTTATGGATAGACTCTTTATAATAAAAAGTTTGGGTCATATGAAGAGTCATTTGGAGATGCTCTACTCAAACTCTTTATTATAAACAGTTTATCCATAGAAACAAGAGTCCACCAGACTCTTTGTTCTTTAAATATAAGTTAAAGAGTGAGTTTAACTCTTCACATTTAGAGAGTCAAATTTCACTCTCTATCCTAATTTTAAATAATAAATTGCAAGTTTTCATACATTTTATTTATGATTTATCTTTCCTATTAAGTTTCTTTTTTGAAAAAACATATTCTCTCACCTAAAATTTAAAGAGTTTATTGGATTTAAATCAAAATTTTGTTTTTCATATTTAAAAATCAACGAAGATGCTCTTTAAAATAAAGAGCACCATTGGAAATGCTCTAAAGCAGTTATCTCAGTAAGAGCATCTGCAATGGTGCTTTTCATTTTAGAGAGCATATTTTATATAAATAAATAACATCTTCATTAATTTCTATATATAAAGAACAAAATTTTTATTCAAATCTAATAGACTTTTTAAATTTAACGAAAATGCTCTTTATTTTCAGGAAGAGACTTAATAGAAGAGATAATTAATAAATAAAATGCATAGAAACTTGTAATTTATTAATTAAAATTAGGATAGAGAGTCAAACTCACTTTTTAATTTATATTTAAATGATAAAGAGTCTGTTCGACTCTTGTTTTTATAGATAGATTCTTTATAATAAAGAGTTTTGGTCATATAAAGAGTTATTTGGAGATGCTCTAAGATTGTAATATCTTCTTTTTATTTAATATGATGCAATACAACTTACTAATTGAAGAACAGTGTATTCTACTCACGTCGACGTAGCAATACTCTCATTGGCCGATTGGTTGTGTTTTTCTGCACTATTAGAGCATCTCCAAATGACTCTTTATATGACCTAAACTATTTATTATAAAGAGTTTATCCATAAAAACAAGAGTCCAACAGACTCTTTATCTTTAAAATATAAATTAGAGAACATTTAGAGAGTCAAATTTCACTCTCTATCCTAATTTTAATTAATAAACTACATGTTCCTATGCATTTTATTTATTAATTCTCTCTCCCATTCAGTCTATTTCTTAAAAATAAAGAGCATCTTCATTAAATTTAAAGAGTTTATTGGATTTGAATAAAAATTGTGTTCTTTATATTTAAAAATTAATGAAGATGTTCTCTAAAATAAAGAGCACCATCGGAGATGCTGTTATAACCATAATATTATTTGCTTTTCAACAATTATTGAATATAATTTTTTTTTTTTTTCACCTTCTAAAATAATGCCAATATAATGATTATCACAACTGATAATATTTTACACTCTAAAGAGAGGCATCTCACAATAAGATAGAAAAGGATATGATCAGTTCCAATAATTTAAGAAGTGTATAATTTTGATAATCAGAAGAATAACAATTCATGTTGCAAGAACAAGGAGAACAAAAGTTTTGCAGAAGCAAATTTTTACAAGCACTGAAAGGAACAGGAGACTGAAAATATACATTTTCTCCTTTAAACAAAAATTAAAATAAATTTAAGCACGCACAACATGACAACATCCTACACTTTGGTATTATAAACATCAAGATTTCTTTGATTGTGTAGGTCACCTGCACATGTAAGATGGTGTTGGACTTCTTGTCATCTAACAGGAACAGATTTCTTATTGAAAAGATAAGTAGCTAGGATGTTGGATTAGTAATTCTCGAAAACGCGTTGTATTGCCTTCTTAATCTGAGTCTAAGGCTAGGTTGAATCTGTCGAGTGGCTTGTATTAGATATGGTTGGATGTGAACTTGTCAAAGGAGAACGCGGTGCAGAGTTGCGACCATGAACACTGCTGTATCCATGGTGGTTGGCAACACTAAGTTGGAGTGATTCACCCGCCCTCTTTCCAAGCTCTCTTAACCGGTTAAGTTCTGGTACTATAACTGTCCCCAGATCAGGTCTGTCCTTCTTCCTCAGTTCTGCACAACCTATAGCCAATTTCGCGAAACTTAGAGCATCTTCAACAGGCCAGTCAGGAACTACTGGATCAAGCATCTCTTCAAAAGTTCCTTTCTCAATGGCCCTCCCAACATGGTGAGCTATACCCATTGGAGGCTTCGCCGTGATGATTTGAAGCAACATTATCCCCAGTGAATATATATCCGATCTCGTAGTCAACATTCCTGTCTGTTGATACTCAGGATCTATGTAACAGAATGTTCCTGCAGCTGAAGTCATGTGATATTGTGTGACACTATCGGCAACAGAAGGCGGAACTAACCTTGCAAGCCCAACGTCACTGATTTTGCTCACATAATTTCTGTCTAAGAGGATGTTAGCCGGCTTCAGGTCCCTATGCACAAGCGGCTCTGGTTTTGCTTGGTGAAGAAACAGAAGGGCAGTGGCAATCTCCGCCGCGATTTTGAACCTTTTCCTCCATGAAAGTGGAGGGCTGTTGCCTCTTCGCAACAATCGATCTTCTAAGCTCCCATTGTGCATGTATTCATATACCAAACATCCATAATCAGGACAGGCACCAAGAAGAAGCACCATGTTTGGATGTCTAATGCAACTTAGAACCTCAACCTGAGAAGAGAAAAATTGAATAATGTAACTTCTTACATAATAAAACTTCATACTGAAATTGAATGGCTTCAAGAAAATGAAAATAATAGCTTACTTCTTGTTGAAATTGCTTCTTGCCTTGAGCAGCATCAGGTCTTAAAACTTTGATAGCAACTGCGGTGTGATCTAGTTTGCCTTTATACACAGGTCCATATCCACCTTCACCAATTTTCATGGAGTCTGCGAAATTACTTGTAGCTTGTTCGATCTCCTCTATATTGTATCTTCGGTACCTGGTATCATTATGTGCCAATGCATTCAGAGCGCGGTTCTTCTCTTCAGCCTCTCTCTTAGCTTTCATCTCTGCATGCCTTCTTCTCTGTGCTTCCATCTCTGCTAGCCTCTGCGCTTTCTCGGCTGCTTCAATTGCAGCTTGGCACTTAGCCTTCTCCATCTCTGCAACTGCAAGAGCTGCCTCTCCGGCTTGCCTAGCCTCCTCGAATTTCTGAGCCTCCTCTATTTGCCATTGATGAAGCTCGTTAGCCTGCATATGAATAGTCAGTGTATCAAACACTGAATAGGGATATCGCGGAAGCACATAAAATATTAGGAATCAATAAGATTGTTGGTATATGTAATTACCTTCTTTTTAGCATTGAGTGCTTCTTTGCAAGCTGAGCTGTACAGTTCCATGGTCTGTTTGAGTTCCAGCTTTAATCTTCTCATCTCGGACTCGATTTCACGCTGCAAGTAATACATCGGAAGGATATTAGGATCATAAAAGTCCTATGAGTAAACCCTTTTTACAGGAATTCACTACTTACTGAAGATGCTGAAGTTGCAGGGCTAAGATTGACACTTGAGAAATCTAGATTATGAGCTGACATATCCATGGATCCCACAGCAGGTGGCCCTGAATACTCAGAATTGTCGGAAAAAGAATCACGGCTCATTGAACTCCTTGATCCACGAGGAGCATATTCGATACTTTCCATTGACATATTCGTTGGAGAACTTTTCTGTCTATCCCGTGATGCTCCTCTCGGTTGTTCGTTGTTTTTCTCCCATGATATTCTATCTGATGATCCTGAAACCCTAAACATTCCTTTCATTGCTTGTCCCCTGCTTCAATAAAACATCAAAACAAACACATTCAATATACAGTAACAAAGTACTTAATGTAACCCGCCAATACTAGCTAGCTACCTGGAGGCATCGTCTCCATCGCCGCGATCGCGATCGGATGGGAACTGAGGTGGAATTCCGGCAGACGGTTGCCTTGGAGGGGCGGGAGTATTAGCAGCAGGCCGCTGAGCGGTCCGCACTGAGATGATCTTCCCTTTGGAAATTACATACACGGAACAGAAATCCGGAGCTGATTTCAATAAACTAGCTGATACATCATAACTTTTGAACTTCCTGTAAGATTCATAACAAATTAGAAACAAAATTTAGAGAAAATGGAACTGAAAGATTAGTTTCTGAGCGTGTTAAGAGAGAACCTGGCAAGCGCATTCCTTGTTGATGCCCCAACAACAATGTTGTTGAGTACATTCTTGCAGACATAATCCAGGAGTGCTTTAGGAATATCATTATCTTCAAGAACAACTTCTTTTAATAAAACCTGAATTATGCATTTTTTATAATATTAAAGTTTTCTATTAGAGTTATTGTCGATTAAACGAAGCTTGTTTTAAAAAGTAGGTAAGTTTCATGTGAATCAATAAATGGACAAGATTTTATCACTTTGTATAAATAAAGGTGACAATTTTTTACATTTTTTATCATACAACAGACACTTACAAACATTACGTACCCCTTTTCTAGCACAATAACCACGGAATGGAGTGAAAAGCTGTTGCATTTCGGCATCAGAATCAACATCAGTAGTTCCATTGGAATTCTCTGCAAAAACAATAACAATGAGGAAAACTTACAGTACATATTGTAGTAAGATAACTAATAAATAATAAGACAATAAATGAGAGAGGGTACCTACGATGTTGATGGTTATGGTTATAATTATGATTTTGATGACCGTGCTTGTGCTTAACGTGAAGCAAGATGATAAGCGGGTTGCTTATAATAAGATGATCGATCGCCCAACGAACGGCATGAGGGCTGTTCTTGTCTTTGTCAATGGCGACGGCGGTGGAGTTAGGCGGTATGCTCTCATCGTACGTCAAGTGTTGAGGATTAACCATAGCTTAATGTAACCAAAATTTGAAATTGCATAAATAATTTCAAGTTCCAACGAAGAAGGTAACAGAGAAATTGTAACTTGAAAAACGGAGGCAGCTTGAGGTTGGCCATTCACATATTTAAGTCGTTCCAACTTGTTTTAGGCATTTGACCTGGTCGTTCATTTTCATCCACTTTTCCCAATCACCCCTTGTGTTAATTTTTGTTATAACTAAGTTGAGAACATATCAAGAGATTCAATAACAAATTAATCATCTTAATTTTGACCTTAGGATAAGGATAATATTATATTAATTGGATAAACAATAAATTTTAGCTATATATGAACTAGGTCAATTATGCTGCGTCCTATTCTGAACTTGCACAGCCCATAATTAAATTAGGTTTATTGGCAATTTTTATGGAAGGAGTGTATCGTGTTTTAGTTTGAATCATTAATTTGTATATATAGCATTACCTCTATTACATAATTTTATTATCTTTAAATATCGGAGTTGCTTGATATTTTTAACAATTTTCAAACATATTAACTAAATTGCTATTTATATATTATTAAAATGATGATGTAATTCAAGGATCTCTCAAGTGATTCATAATTATTAACTGGTTCACAACTTATATGGATTATAAGATTTTGAGGAGCCATATAAATTAAAATTCCCATGTTAAAATTTTTAATAAAATCTAATGCCATATTTACTCTTCTTTGTTTATATATGTCAAATGATTCATAGAGAAAGAAATAATATGAACAACCCTTCTAAATCTCAATTCAGAGTATGCGTGAATGCAACCATTTGAACTAATTTTCTGATAAAACCTTTATGAGAATCATAAACCTCACCTCATATTTGATAAAATTATCACTTGTCTCCTTCTGTCCAAATTAAAGCGTAAAACACTAAAGCTAAAAATTTGCATGCTTGATTTTTATTTTTATTTTATTTTAAGAAAGAAAAAGAATATATGCAACAAGTAAAAGAGTCTTCGATATTGTTCTTCGGCTTCATCACACTGATGACCTTGGTCTACCTTGACATATCATCAACCACAATAGACAAGTGAAATCACTAACTCGCACCCAATGGTTGAGAGTTCATAACCTTTGTCATTGAATGGTATTTCCACATTCATTATGATCTAATCTAATCCGACAACATACAAAATTTTGTTCTATTCATCTTATTGTAGTATTAATGCAGTGAAATACATTTTAGTCTCTATAATTTTGGTCCACATAGTCAGGACACATTTTTTAGTAACAAAAATGTCTTTCTACTTACATCTGTTGTGTATAGGGGTTGTATAAGCCAGCCGAGTACTTGGCTGCTCGAGCTTGGCTCGGTTGCTACAGTAGCAAGCTTGAGGTGTTGGGTTCAGCTTGAGCTCACTTCCAAAATGGTCACTCGAGCTCAAGCTCGAGTTCATCGGTCTCCAGCGGGTTTTGGATCTAGCTCGAGCTTTGAGCTCGAGGAATCTGCATGAAGAAAAACCCATAATCTTTGCTTCTTTTCATCTCTCTTGTTTCATCAAAATAACATTCATTTCCACAATTTATATATATGTTAATGTATATATTTTGTATATACATTTTTATCTTATTAATGAAAGAAAATGTTCTTATTTCATATGTGGTTTATTGCTCCATTTATATATATGTATTACGTGTGAAATGTTTGGATGATACAAATCTTTAGAAGATCAAAATCATCAAAGTATTCCCTACATATGTAATATTAATTGGGCAATAATATTACATAGTAGGCATGTTGAATGTCTCCGTAGAATATCATGTGATGGTATTAGTGTGGACGATTATAAAAGTTATATCATTAGGGAATTAGTATGGATAAATGGTTAGTAAACTGTTTATCGAATATGGTCATTTATGATGAATCACATGGACATTTAAAAAGTAGTCAATGATGCATCATAAGATCATACTAGTGTATTATTAATCCATAGACCTGAGATATCACGGTTGGATTCTGTATAAATGCATATGGTTCATATGGTGTATAAACACGAGGCTAATAATGTCATGTGTTAATAAGTGGATTTGACCATATGTTGTTTATGTGTGAAGACAAGTGATAGTCAAGATTGGATCCATTGACTTGGTATAGATTGATATCAAGTTCCTAGACAAATGTCAAGATACATTGGAAAAGAGAAATCTCCGGCCAGGGTATATAAAATGTTACCTAAAAGATTGTTTCATGGTGACACGTTCTATATGTATTGATTGTCAATTTGATATAAAATTAGGATAAAGATTTTGACATACCATGAATCCATTCTTAATTGGGATTAGACAATGAAAGGATTTGATTATACAGCGTATATGATTATAAAAGGGTTCGTTGGAGTATATCTTCATTATGACTTAAGGGTTATGGAGCATTACTAGATGCCTACTATAATCGGTAGGAGTTTTGTTTATAAAGAGTTATGACAAAACATATCGGAATAGACTATGATATTGGGCCCACGGCTAGGCTATAGTGAACTTAAGAGGTCACACATAAAAACTAAGAAGAATAGAGAAATAGCCAAAGAGGGTTGATTATCCAAGGTTGGCTAGCACCTACCAAGGGTAATAAAGTTATTTATATCATTATCATTGAATTAGATTCGATGGAGAGTTATATTAGTTATTATAAATAATTTAAGAGTTAAATTGCTAATTGGAATTAAAAAGAATTCTAATTCATAATTAATCATTTTCTTTATATTAAATTGAATTTAACAATGGGTTGTAATTGTAAACATATGAACAATTTAAAGGTTAAATTATTACGTAAACAATTTAAGAGTTAAATTGTTAATTGTGATTAAATGTTAATCCAATGTTATTATTTAAATAAGTTTAATGACTTCATAATAATTATGGAATTATATACAACTCCAAAACAATTATGGATTTATTTAAATAAGTCCAAAACAATTATTAAATTGTTTACAAGACTAAAAAAAAAATGATATATCAATTTTAAGATAGAGATCAAAATTTCTAAGAACCCTAAATGTCTCTCTTGGCCTAATTCTTCTTTTATCTTAGTGTGGATACTCTTTTGTTTAATTTATCTTAAAGTTAAAAGTCTCTAAGGTTGTTAAAAACTTAAGGTAACAAGTTACACCTTACTTGTTTTCAATTTGATTAAATTTTTTTACAAAATAATAATATACATATTATAGTATAGTATTGCATTCCAACTTTCAAGCAAACCTATTAAAAAAGGACAAGTCAAAAGCTAAAACCAACTAAAAGAAACTGTAGCAAGACATACTACAAGCGTAGATAATCAACAAACATTAAGCAAATAGAGGCCCTACAGGCACAATCCCAGCTAAAAGAAACTGCAGTAGGGCGCACAACAACCCAAGAGGACCAACAACCAACAAGCTGACTGAACCCCAACTTGCAGAAATAGCAGCCACCCTCCAGCCCAGCCATAAGACAAAAAGTAATAGCCTTAATTAAGGAGAAAACCAACCCAAACTATTAAGCTGGCCTTTAGATACTCAAGTAACGAATCAAGTTGGTGACAGAATCAGGATCTTAGAATGACAAAGACAAGTCACGATAGGGACGAGAACGGCACCAGTGAAGTCATCAGCGAGAACGACAGATTGACAGAGGTTGGAGAGATATTACGTTTTTTTCTGTTATAATTTCAAAATTTCCAAATCGTTTTGGGTAT